CAATTCGACATGAATTTCAAACCAATTTGAAATTACCACTTTCTAAGACTTTATAGTTTACAAACTAGCCTCTTTATTTGCCAAAAAAAGTCACTGTAATTTAATAAGAACAGAAGTTGTCCATATTGTTGCAGTATTACAAAACGTGGCCCATGCGGTTTATTCTTTATATTTGGTGCTTCACAGGTTGCTTTAACCTCTTATCATTGTGGTCTTTACTACTATATTACTACTTCATGTTCATTTAACTCTATGTTTTTTTTATAATATGGTTGTCATGTCTACTCCCATGTGTAATACTATCAGACAAGTCACGCTATCAGTGATACATATTGTACACTTTCAAAATCCAATGAAGCAAAACCTTAAGCCAATCTGAGATCAGCGTCAACATACATAGGTCTCTTGCATCAGGTCACAAGAGCAATCTCCTTTTGCTGTCATGATGTGGATCCGTTATAAAAGAAGCAAGCACCATGTGCAACTCCCTCCCTCTTTGGGGACCTGCTGGGTACAGCAATGACCTGAATTACGGTGTGGTTTTGAAACAAACCTTTCACAACAGAACGCATGGGTATTTCCACCAGCAAGGCCCGCTGCACCCCAGGCAGGGCAGCCCCTCTGTTTCTTGTCTTGTTCCAGTGCACCAGGACTCAGCAGGCTCAGCCTTGTGCTTTGTAGAGCTCCTGTATCTGTTCTAACCTGTGACTGGCACCACCGACACGCCAGGTGCCTGAATGCTTGTGCTGAAGAACTAAGATAGCTTTAATTTTTGGTATTTAAGTTGTATTTTGAATCTTGTGCAGCCTCATGCATGTTGTAGTTATGTGAATAGTTGACAGCTCCCAAAGTTCATTGGGCAGCCCAACTTTTCCAAAAGGAAGCTGCTAATTTACATGAAGTGATGCTGTACCATCTAATTTTAATGTTCTGATGCCTTTTCAGATGCACAGTTGCAGTTTGTTTGCCCCAGGATGCTGGCAAGTATCCTCTATACCTCTTTACCACTTTCCTCTCTCTAGAAATACAGGAAATCCCCTCCCTTTCAGATGATCGGCTTGTTTCCACATTTAGCTCATTCACACACATTTCCAAGAGCTGATGCAGCTGTGATGATGACGATGAAGGAGTGGGCTGCTCTCTGTCATGTGACAGCACGTGTACACACAACACTACTGACAAAGGGAGTCCTGTTTCTCTCCCATGATGTTGCTTGTTGCTGTTATTTTATAGTTACGCTCTAAAGCACTTGGTCTTCTGCTCTTTACTTATGTTCCTTTAGCTAGTTTTATCTACTGCCATTAACTTTGTTACTGAAGCATGGATTTCTGCACTGAAGATGGTACTCTGAGGGAACCAGAGTAGCTCCCTAGAATCACATCCCTGTTGTAGGGCAGTGGAGAGGAAGCCGCAGAGCTCACTTGCTGGAGGGCAGCAACCGCCCGGCAGGAATGATAGGGAAAAAGGAAAGATTGCTCTGTGGTAGGATGGGGAATTAGTTAGGAACTTACAAATTATTCTTTCTTTCCCACAGGAAAGGTGGTGGCTGGCTGGGGAATGGCCACAAGATACAATAAGGAGAAAGAGGGTTGGAAGTCAGGAGTCTCTCCTCATAGCAATTGCAACACCCCTACTCTTGGTAAGTGGGTAAGGAGCATCATGAGTCAGCTAAACAATGTGAAGAACTAAGAACCAAGTAAAGGCATGTTTCAGAGCATAACCTGTTCTTTTATTTTATGAGAGTACAAAAACAGCAGAATTCTAAATAAAAGCTGTAAGTGAAGTAAGGTTGAAAACCTAGTAACATGTTGCAGAACAAGGGGGAGAAGTTTTCTTGGTTTGTTTCAAGTGAGAAAATTCCTAGCAAATCATGGAAGAATAAAATAAAATTCCATATTTCTGTTTCTACATACTTTCTTCCATCTCTTTCTATTGTTGTCATATTTTACTCATTATATGTACTTTCAGAGCTTCTATTGCTTAGCCAGCTATCTCCCAGGAAAGCTCTAACGAAATACATTGGTAGCTTATTCCTTTCTCTCCTTTTCCTGCCCCTTTTGCAAAAAAAAGCACACATTCACAGAAAGCAGAAGGCACTCAGCAAATGCGTTACTTACACGTGGTCTTTTCCATTCAAACTTGATGGGGACTTTCTGGCTGTAGAAGAGGGAAGTCTCATTAGGTGGGAAATCAGGATCCTCATAGAGAATGTTTTTCTCCAGACACTTCTTGTGAAGCTCTTCATAGGTCTTTTCCTTTACTTTGATAATGGGCTGGTTGCGGCTTATAATGGCAGAATAAATCCCTCCTGTGCCTCCCCCTGTACCTTCAGTTGTAGTGCTGGTAGTGCTAGGAACTGACCCAGCAGCTGCCTGCTGAGCCACCGCTGCATTTATGGCGGACGGCATGAGAAGTGGCCTCACAGCAAGCGTTGAAAGAAAGCAAGATCTTGCACACTGGAAGGAAATTTGAGAAAAGAGGAAGTTGCCGTTGCCCCTTTTTGTTGAAATCTCCTAGTTAAAACTTATAAGCAATACAATCCCATCTGGTTCAGCTCTCCGTGCATCTTCTCAAAGGGTTGTACTTTTGCATAAGAAAGTGGAATTTATTCCTTGATGGAGAACAAGGTTCTCTGTAGGCTAAGTCCTGTGCCTGAGTTGTTCTATCTACAGCATCTGTGTGTGCCGACCCAGTGTGTAGAAGCACTGAGAAGAGACAAGCTTTAACCAGTGAAATCTAAAAATATCTACCAGCAAAGAGTGATAGAGAGGGAAAATGATAGGGAGGGGGGTTAGCATGGGTGTCAGTCTGCTGTGAAACTTGTGCCCAGGCCAGGAGCTGTGTGTGGGCTGATTCCTGGTACACACAGCTCATCTCTTCCTTAAGCAGAGAAAAACAGTGACACTTCAAGCTGAGCTCCCCCTGGTCTGGGAACACATTTATGAAGAACTCTTAGCCAATGTGCTAGTCCTGACACTCCTTATGAATTGTTCTACTTATTGTTTCTGCCCTTTGTTACAGATAACGTGTATTTTACAGAGCCATTCATCTGAAGACATAGCCTTAATAATAAAAAAAAAGTAATAGTATTTGATGCTATTGAGGTCAGTTCAACACCTCTCAAATGGGGGCTGGATTCTTCAGGCTACCTCAGAGGGAGCAGCTGGCCAGGGCTGAGATTCATTTGCCATACCTGTTTTCCATGTAGAAAAGGCACCTTTTCACTGGGAGCAGTGAAGTTTCTTAGGGGCCCAGTGCAGAAATTGGGATATTCTGTGTGTGTCAGGATATACCAATCTTAGGCAAAGTGTCTGACTTAGCAAGTTTATTCCCAGGGACAAATTCAAAATTTCTGTGAAAGAAAGTCAAGTTGCCTTCATTTATACACATCGCTCTTCTCCCAGCGTTCCTTAAAAACTGACAGTGCCTGTATGGCAAGAAAAGCCCTCTAAATCTTGATGGTCTTTGACTGGGAAGTCTGAAATCACAAGGTGACATCAATGCTACTTTTGTCTAACAACACTGGTATCTGGACTCTGGCTGACCTTCTGCTCTAGTACTATGCTATGCTGCCAAAGCACTGATACTTTTTTCTCAGCTATTTCCTTGGTTTGCTGGCTTCAAATTGAGTACAACAGAGAAAGTCTAAAGCTCGTTTGTCCCCTTTCAGAACTTCACTAGGGCAACCTCTGAAGAAGGTAATATAGTTAACAAGCTTGACCAACCTCTAGGAATACTCATCCCTAAATGGTGGCCTAAATCATTTTGATCATGAACAGAAGCTTCTTGAACAAACAGGGCATTCAGAAAGGACTGATTTGACTGTATGTGGAAATAGGAATGCAGTTGCTTCAGGATGGGCTGTCCAGCTGCAGAATTGATTACTTCCTCATTACACTCAGATGTGAGGATTGCAGGTCTCGTATTTGACGTGGCTTTGCATGACAGCTTGGCAGAGATATGCGTCACTCTTTCCAGGATATTACAAGTGCAGTGCAAATAGTGAAACACAAGGTTTTCAGACTTCACAACTTCAGAAAGGAATGTTCATTATGTAGCCTGGGCATATGTTTTTTTTCTTTCATTTTCTCCCTTCTTGCTCAATACAAACATTCATCTATACAAAGAGCTCTATTATGGAAAGAAAGACAGTAGTAGCGCAGAATGTGATACTTGACAAACTCCCTATGGGCTGCAGAGAAGGATCAAGTGAAATATTAGCAATGTTTTTATGTATTTGTTTTTCCTGGGATGGGGAAATGGCAGGTGGGCATGCCCTTACTGCGCTACACTTTTAACCCAACATTGCTCTTTATGGATGTTCAGGAGTATTTTCTGGCTATACCTGTTCAAAAAACAGCTTCCTCTCGCTATTGTAGATCTTCTCTGTGATAAACAGAGTTGCTAGTAAAAGAAAACCAGCATATGTTTTACCATACACAGAAATGTCTGCAACAAACAGCAAAAAAAACCAAAACCCTTTGCCATTAGAAATCAGACTACCTTTTGTGATGGAATTTCTTGTGAGCAGAAGGGCCCCCATCTACAACTCCTGTTCAGATGGTAAATCAAAAGTGATCTAAATGAGTGACAATAATTTAATTTTTATGAAGTTCTATCTCTAGTTGTTTTCAATATCTGAGTTCAATTACTTTTTGTAGAAAGGTAAAGTATTAATTCATTTCTTCATTTATGACAAAATATGTGGAAAAGTATGTAAGTTGATACAAGCATCAATGTAAATTTTTTTGAAATTTATTTAACTTTATTATATAAAGACCTAACTGTAATAAGGTTTTGTGCAACTAATTTCTCTCAAAGTCCCCAGAAGTTAGGCATGTTGTAACACTGAACATTTGACTTATGAGTACTTATATCAGTGCAGATTTGCTGCAGGTCACAGCATAAAATTTAACCATTCACTTTACTCACAAACAATTAAAAGAATACTAATAAGTAATGCTCAACAGTAAAAAGAAGGTTAGATCACAGCACATAACTCACTTTGCTGTTACTTTATTTCACTTTCAAACTTAGCAATATTAGTTAAAACATTTCATTAAAACGCCCCAGACAATAATTACACCCTGTCAGCACCACCATGTTTAAATAAAAGAAACCATTATCAATCAAAACTTTAGAAGCTGATAGAAAAATAGGGTCTGTCTGAAAAACAGAGTTTGTCTATCTTCTCACAGATGTAAAAGATCTATTTGCTACTGTTCCACCTGGATTAACTTGTCTTCATTAAACACGGCAGCTAGGCTGCTAGTTCCCAGCTCCTGGAGTGGAGGTTCAGAGTGTCTGCTAAAAAGAGTCAAAAAAGAGCTCTGCAGAATAAAAAAAGAAGGAAGCTAAGGGTCTGGTGGGAAACAAGCTGCACTTGGTACTCAACAGCGTAGTTGTCACCATTTGCTCTCACGCTGTTATTCCCAGAAATCTGTCCTGCAGAGGACGAACAGCAGCAGGTGGGAATGACTGACCAAGCGCTGAGCGGGCTTAATACAAAGTGTAGGGGACAATGTACAAATGCACTACCATGTTCCCTTTAATGGACAAAAATTGTGTCTATCCTTCTCTTTCCCTAAGAATTCACTATGGAAAATATTTCCTTATCGTGTTAATAGAAATAATTTCTGCCTTTTTCATTGCCATCTACTAAGCTCAAATTTCAGCTAGATACCCAAAGCTGACCAGGAAATTGCTAAACTAAATGTAATGGAAGCCACGGCTTAGCAAAAGCTCAAAGACTTGGAGGAGCAGATTTCCAAGGAAGGATGTTGCTTCACCAGGCTAACTTCAACCAATGACATTTAATCATTCAAAAGAGGCCAATTCTTTCCTAACAAATTAATTTTCAAAGTAGCGCTGGCACAAAGAGGGAAGCAGTGCTGTGGAAAACATTTCCATGGGAACCTAGCTGCTGCCCCAAACTGCTACCATTGCCATAGACATACACCTTTTCAGAAGCCAGTTTCCAAGCCATCTCTTGGAGAGAATTCTGCACTCTGAACTGACTGGCACCACTTCTTCAAAGCCTGGTGACCAAATTGTTCAGCTAGCCTGTTGTTTACTTTCCCATGCAGATTGATGAATTCTGCAGGCTCATAAGGACTGGAAATAGGAAGCATCTGCAACCACGGTGGGTGGCTTTCTGAGCTTATTTTTACAAGGCAGCTTTTGCAGGCAGATCTCAGCATCTGGTATATCTACTGATGCTGTTTGTCAAACTGGTGCGGTTCTGCTCTCCTAAAGTGCTCTAAGCTGTGAAAGGTGAGATTTCTAAATCCTTAGATAAAATCCCATGCAAATGAGCCACAACCTCACACAATCAGTTCATGATTTTTTTTTGGTGTAAGTAAAGACTGACTGTACTCTTAAAGCCTAATTGAAGCTAGCCTAGAACAAATACTCCTTAGTTTTCCTCCACAGACAATCATAGCACTATTATTTTGCCAGACAGAAGAGTTATCCAAGTTTAAATCAATGTTCTAAAAGGAAAATTGTAAGAAATGTTACTGTGGGGCTGGGTGGGTGGGAAATATTCCTTGATTTGATTGGATTCAAGTGAACACTTCAAGTCTTTGAGGCTGATTTCTCCTCCACCTCTCAATGAATTATTTGAAGAAGTTGTCCTGTTTCACTTGATGCAAATCTCCCAGTCACTATCAACTCTCAGGGCTAAATTTTCCAGAATCAGTACAGCAGTCTTCGTATCATATGTGAAAACCACTTCTTTTTCTTTCCCACCTAGAAAGGAGAAGAGAATTTACTATATGATTTAGGAATAACCCTTCTGAAACACAGTTATATGTGAATCACTTCAGTTTTTACTTCAGACTGTCTTTGCCACTGCTGGAAAGGACTGGATACAAAACAAATAGGAGTCAAATGTGCCAAGTATATACATAAGAATGTAGCAGAATCAGAATAACTAAATGTAGTAAAACGAAAGTCGGTTCATTACCCTTGGAACAGGCTGTCACTAAAGTGGGCTGTTGTCCAAGACCCATAAATATCACGCGCTCGACCACACACGTGGTACGGTATTGACCGCTCTCATCTGTGCAGCTGAAAAAAAAGAACAGTATTTTGCATCGTTTCTGCCCATCACTAGACGTTCAGTCTTATACTGAGAAAGGACTGCTTCAGTCTTACCCTGAAGATTCCCTAAATCAGTTTCCTTTTTCTCTATTTACCTTTCTCCTGAAACAAGTAAAATTTTTCTGCTGTTATCTGCTAGTATTTGACTGCATAGCAGATTTCATAAAGTCAGAAGGGGACAAAATAGTTTGAGAAGATTTTGTGACACAAAGCATGGCTTTGACAACCAGAAATGTTCTGGATTTCTGTGAAGTGGTAGTGGAAACCCCAAAACACAAATGTAAAGTCAATTCTAACATTTTTCAAGTTAGATGTTTCAGTCTTAAGCTTAATTATCTTTCGTTTTGAAACTACTTTAATTTATATATTTACAAATATAAAAACTCGGATGAAAGTCAGATTTTCATTTTTGGTGGCAAAGGGTTATATTACTCACCTAAACAACTTTTTTTCCCCTGCAACTTCTAGATTTGCAAGTAATTTAGCAACGTGCTTCATTTCTATCCTTAAATTTGAAGATGTTCAGATTTGAAGCATGCTTTTACCTACATTGTTTAAGTAGTCTACAGTTTTGCTTATTCTAAACTATGTAGTTTGAAGACCAACTAACTACTGCATATTTTTGAAACTTAAGAGAATAATGAAATGCCTTTAAGTTCATTATCTATGCACCACATAGCCCTAGGGGCAATAGACTTCACTAGTAAAAGTCTAATATTGGCAGTTACAGGATTCCTTACCAGTAGCTATTGCTATTCTGGGGGCTTCACTAAGCAACACATAAGATTAATATTCCCATATTTTACAAGACATTTCCACTGACAATATGTATGTTGGGTGGCTTCTATCTGCCTCTGTTGCTGTTACCTGGAAGAGAGAATGTTCTTGTGAAAAGTGAATTTCCGGTACAGGAACTGCTTTTTGTGGAGATACTGAAATGAATGTCCATCATCTAGGTAGAGCTCACCTACTGCACAGGCCTGTGAAACACAACAGATGGAGTCCAAGCTATCAGCATCTTCTAGTATTAGACAAAGAAACACAGAACACTGTTTCATTATGTGTTATGCTTCATAGTGAAGGTTGTGAGGTTTCTGTGTGTGTGTGCTTTTTATCTGGTTGTTTTTTTTAGCCACTTGTATCTCCAGAAGATTCAGGGAGACCAGCTCTGAGAGTGCTCTGAAAACTTGGATGTTCTGGTTCTGCAAGTTGATTTAGCTGATAGGTGTCACTTCATTTATTAGAAAGGACACTTGTGGGAACTACTACCTACATTCCAGCAAGTTTGTGCCCTGCCAATTCTCTGCTGCTTCTTCTTCCAAAGCACTGGTGGAGGGCTGAGAAAAGTCAGCAAAATGTTCCACCCATGCTGCGCTCAGACAGTTTCACTCTGAGGGAATACTGGGAGGGAGGAGGGAGCCTCCACTAGCAGAAACTTAATAGAGGGCCACTGGAAGCACCTTCAGGCTTTAGGATAAATGTGGCAAAAGACAACTTTGTAAGGGGAACATGATTTCAGGGTACCTCTGCGTTCAGTGCCACGCGGAGTTCGTAAGAAATATTTGTCATCCATTCAGTGGACTTTCCAGCTGCAGTCTTAAGAGGTATCACAGTGCCCCCTCGCTGGAATATGGGAATCTGCCAAAACAAGGCCAGTGTAGAAACATTCATGTAACTCTGATCATGCAATTTTAACTGGGAACAGGGAAATCTTAAGTTTTTTCTTTGCAAATCTCAGAACTGAACTTTTACTGTAAGCACATAAAGAAAACTATTCAACTAACATACATTCTCCAGTGTTACTGGGATCTTCAGAGTGCCTTGATCTTCCATTCGTTTAAATTTTCTGAAATCATACCAAACCTAGGAAAAATGAAAAAAGAATGAGCAAGAATTTACATGACAAGATCTGTTCCCTTTGCAGAGAGTTCTTTTTTGCTTCATCTCTTACTTTCACTATTCCTAACAACCTAATTCATTTGTAAGAAATATTATATCTTACACATAATTCATGTGTAAGAAATTACATTTACTTTTTAAATTCAATAACCTTGGATAGTAATGAAACTTTATTCTTTCCCTGAGGCAGAAAAATAAACCTATTTTTCTACAGTTTGCATTACATCTTGCATGTTTTAAAGCATCTGGTAGCTCAAAATAATTTTTTTTTTCTTTTTGGTCTAGAAATGCTCTGTTCCAGAATGAGTGTATTTATATTGAAGTGAAAAAATAACAAAAAAGAGCTACATCTGAAATTTCCCATGCATCACTCTTGCCAGCAGGTTTAACTACTTCAGGTGAGCCAGGCACTGAATTCCCACAAAGATCTTGATAAGAAAAATATGTTTCATAGCTTGTTTGGAGAGCCTCATCTATTTTTTTTATATGGAGGAAAAAATCGTTAGTGTCCTCGGGTCCATTAGAGTAGTAACAAAGCTCTGCAGTCTTTCACACTTCCCTTCACTGCTTTCATTTAGGTTTAAACCTCTGGGTTTAAACCTCAAGCTTTCTTTCCCTTCTGAACTTTTTTTGCCGATTCCTTCCGTTCTTTCATTTAGCTGCTGCAGCCAAGTAGTTTGTGTACGAGTGGATCACAGTGCCATCCTGTGGAAAAGGAAGGCTTAGAGTGGCACAGAATGGCTGTGTAGTGGCAGTGCATAGCAGTTATGAGGTGGGGAGCAGGAAGGTTGCTGTATAATATATTTCTGTGAGCTGAAAAGCTGAGCAGCTTTATATCGTCCATACCTCCTTCAACCCTGGAAGTAGCACACTCACAGCCTTGGCCTCTTTGTCCGTGACTGGATATACCAACAAAGCATTTCCTGGAGAAAAGCATAAACATCGCAATAAGTGATCGCTGTGGTGCCTGAGGCCTCATCTCACCAGCAGCAGTCTGCTCTGGTTTTGCGTAGGTTTGCCAGCTTCTTGTATTCATTTTAAGGGATTGCTTGAGCCACATCACGCTCACTTGAGCACCATGTGTTCACTTTGTACTGGAGAAAAAAGGCATGTAAGGAGTTGATGACTGTTCAGGTCTCATTCTGCTACAGCACTGTTACGCAGCAAAGCTGTGCTGCACACCCAGACACACGGGCTTACCTAGCATGTATTCATCTTCCACTCCAAAAGTTTCTAATTTCTCTGGGAACTCTATCCAGAGAGGCCTGAAGAAAGACAGAGAGTGGAATTCAATTAGTTTCTCCTCTCCCACCACCCTGTTCAAGGCCTGCTGGCATTTTTAGGCTCCACTTTTTCCTTCTCTTAAAAGCAATTGAGAATTGAAGATAGAGCAATTTCCTATTCCATGCCTTAAAGTACCACTTTAAGGTGCACTCCAAAGTACCTATGGTTCGGCCGCCTGCAGCCTCACTTTCTTCATTGCTGCCTTCTTCTTTGCAAACTTGCATTACAGATGCCTTCTCTCTAGCAATGCAGAGATGGATGAGCTTTTCTACCAGCAATGCTGACATTTGATGATGTAGTCCCTGAGCAAGTCTTTTCTGCTCTGTTTTGCAGCATGTCTCCTGGTCACACGCTGGAAAACCTGCACTAGTTCAGCTTCAGCCTTTCTCAATAAATAGAAGTGCGATAGTCTTCTAGACACATAATAAATGTGTATAGTTTGTTTTGAGAGATTATGACAGAAAGAGCTCATTCAAGTCAGAGGTGGTCGGCAGCAGCTCTCTGGGGTTTCTCTACAAAGAAGCTTGGCTCACGTGTTACTTATAAACCTCCACTTGTTCACTACAGCCCTGCTGGCCATGTACTAACTGTACATGTACTAACATGTACATGTACATTTTCTACACTGAGAAAAATACCATGCTTCCTCTCTAATTGTGTGCCTATTTCAAAAAGACAGAAGCCTGCTGTCTGCCAGTGTTGTACATCAGGGGCTTCTACATCTACATACATGCAGGCAGATGCCCACACAATAACTATAATGCAAACCACTATAAACTCAAAATACTCAATCTCCTTCAAAAATACCCTTTTAAAACAAACAAACAAAAAAAAACAACAAAAAAAACGTAGAAGTATTTTATTTGCATAATAATGGATAAAGGCAGATGTGCTGGAAAAGGATAACTCTAAGGGCAAATTCAAAGGCACAGTAATATCAAAGAAACTGATGACATTTATCTCTTGCTGAAATGATTTCTGCATTCAGTTCCACTGTGAGATTTTCTTATAAGTTAGCAGCAGAACAAAAGCTGATTTTCTAACTTCATTTCTGTTCTAGACTACTAGATTCTGTACTAGAAGAAAAATGATAAAATATACTACAGAGATAAATAAGCAAGTTATCAATATGAAAAAAAGCTTTTATAACACCAACAATACAGCAATAACAAGTACTTTCATGAGCAGCAAAATTGCCTTTATGTTTTTTGGCCAGCAACTTCAGAGCCTACTAAGCACGGTTTTAAGTGTGGTTTGGAACACCAGACAATGTTGTTTATTATGAGAATTTTGGAGTCCACAGTTCTTTAAAAACATTTTTAAAGACTGTATGTGAGTTAGCGTGTCTGAGGTGTCATTCAGTAAGCATGATATTTAGTTTTCTCTAGTAACCTTATCAAGGCTTGCAGAAAGCAAAATAGAATTTAGACTTCAAACTATTTAAGTAATCACAGATGTATGAGACAGTGATTTAAGTTCCCTCATCTAAGTGGCTTCCTAAGGATAATCACTAGCCTCCTGACTTACGTGCTTACCTCATAACTGGTTCAGCCTCTGTGTGTGCCCGATAGAACAGTGTGTATAAGTATGGCAGGAGGACGTAGCGCTCTCTAATGGCTTCCCTGATGATCTGGGTGTTCTTCTCCCCAAAGAGCCACGGTTCTCGCCGTTTGCTCTTCATGTTAGAATGACCTCTGAAGAAGGGCTGGTAGGCTCCAGCCTGATACCAGCGAACAAGTAATTCTGGTTCTGGATCTCCAATGAACCCTCCCACATCAGCTAGATATTGCGCAGACAAATAAAAATACACATTTTTGGAAATTATTCTGAAGAATTTGAAGTTCTCCTCTAACAAGCATTCCAAGTATATTAATTCATGAATTTCACAGTGTACTTGCGGTTCTGATGTTGGATAGCCGCTTGTCCAATTTAGAGTGGAAAACTGAGGTAACAAATTATCCTTTAATATAAACAGCAAGAGAGTTTTAGGAGGTTTTGAACCTCCAAAGACCGCTACAGTGATGCTACAGACCACCACCTAGAGATCACTGTTCCAAGTCACAAACACTACAGAAAGACTAAGTGGAGAAGTGATGGTGAGAGACAGCTTTTTAGTTTCTGAACCAGATTCATCTGTGAATCTACCTGGAAATGCACTGGACTGTTGAAGCCTGGTGGCACTAGTGGATGTATGGTGAGCAACTTCAGCCAAACACCTTACCTCCACAGAATGAAATCCCTGCCATGCTGATGGTGAGAAGCATTGGAATGGAGATTTTCAAGTAACTCCACTCTGCTGTGTTGTCTCCGGTCCACACTGCCCCTGAAAATACTCAGTTTCAGGATTACATAGGAAAACTGGGTTTACAATTCAGTTTATGCTTGTAGTTTAGCAAAGAAAACAAGAATGGTCATGAACGTCATTGTTCATTGCAATGTATTTTTATAATACATGCATGATCTTGAATTATACAATAAGGTTCATAGTGGTCTGTCACAGGATACAGATTCTTACTGACTTGTATGTGCTTTGCCAACTTTTCCTGAGTTTTTTCAGTTTAATAATTTCCACTCTTCAGATAGTTTCTGTCCTCTTTAGACTTACTATTACATGGCAAGCTGAAGAAAACAAACCACTAGTGAAGGCATGCAGCTAGTCTTTGCTTACCATACTTTTGTGATCCAGCAAAGAAAGATCGTGTGAGAACAAATGGTCTCTCTTTTCCGGAAGAACGTTTTATGAGTCCTTCAGCAGTTGCCATTTGCTGAAAATCATGAATATAAAAATTCGGAGGATGATCTCTATAATTAAGATATTTGCTAAACTACCTTTTTAGCTCATTATATTTAAGAAATGTGTGCTCATAGATAACTGCTATTATTAAACTGATACTTTTCTCCTGGAATAGACTTGAACAACAACAAAAAAGATTAATATTGTGTTGTCACAGCCACTGTGATGTTACAGAGGCATGGATACTGTCATATTGTCTTGTTACCAACCATGGAGAAGTTTATTTCAAATACAGCAATAATTAGTGCGGCAGAGTTTCGTTTCCTGGTGGAGGTTACAGAACACCTGCTACTGTGTAAATAACATCCTTACTACATTACACGTAGTCCACAAAGACAGATAATTGCTGGTCTGTGCCTCCTGATACTCTACCTGGTAGAATCCGTAGAGGTTGTGTAATTCCCGATGCTCCCAGTTGTTGTAGTGCACAGCATCTTTCTGCATTGTTAGCTCTGCCCCTTTGAAAACGGATGGCTCGTTCATGTCATTCCACACAAAGAGGATATTAGTGGACCCCTGTAACAGAGTTGCAAGGTCAAGATGACATGACCACGAGCTACAAGAAAGCATGCCTATTACCCCGTTTGTATTGTCATTGTAATAAGCACAAGAATGCAAGCCCTCTATTAGATGATGGGTTGAAAAAATGACTGCACTCTGTCCATCTACTGCTACAGCTAAGTAAGCAGTTTCAGTGGTGGAATATGGGTTCCAGCTTTCTGACAGTAGATAAGTCCATGGAGAAAATCCTTGTACAGTATTTCAGCTTACCAAGATGCTTTCCTGTATATAATAATATTACAACTACAGAAGCCATCAATTTGCTTAGCCAGCAGTTTCTCTTCTTTCTTTTCCCCATTTTTAGGCTTTCTGGTACATGTAGATCAGTGTAAATAGATACACACCTTGTATGTTTTGAAGGCAAATTGATCTGCATACCATTTTCGCACTTCAGGATTGGTGAAATCCAGATAGTAAGAGGAACCTGTGGATGTAGGAGATTCCAGTTATTTAACTTATTTCAAGATCATGTGTTATCTTTGCATCTAAATGCAGTAGCCTGCAGTTAAGATGCTTTCCACAATGGGCACTGTATGAGAATTGCTGAATCACAGCCTGAACCTCTGATTGATCACCTGAGGTGAGCAATGATTCAGCCTGGGAGCACAGGTGAAGGGGGAGGAGCTTGACTACATTTTCTAGACCCCATTTAAGAGCTGACTACCAGCAGCGATGGATCTCTTTCTAGAGATCCCTCCTTTTGGAATTTTCTAGTGAGCCTAGGACAAAGGTAAGCCCACTATCTATTTGTTTTGGTGTAATAACCTGCTTAGCCACGTTCTCTTGTATATTTCTTAATTATAACACCTGTATATTCATTGATTATACAGACACCAATGATTGTTTCTAGCTCTGAGTAATGGGACTATCTGCAAAGTCAACAGACAGAGCAGAGAAAGGTGTACAGCTAAGCCAATTGGAACATGAATGTACAAAGCCAAAGAAACCACAAAGAACTTGAAATAATAACTACAAAAATAGAAGTATTATGAGAAGTTAATTCTATTTATGATTCTATAAAATTTTTAAAATTAACAGCTCAAAATGAAGAAATGGAGCAGCTTTTTTTTTTTTTTTCTTTTTTTACCTGGCCAACAGATGCCCTCAAAATCTTTTCCATTCCTGTCTTTCACAAAATATCCCTTTTCTTTTCCCTGTGAATACAGGGTATACGTGGGATCAGCTTTAATATGTGGATCTACAATGACGACAAGCTGCCAGAATAAGAAAATAAAATACATGATTAACATCAACTATACTGAGTAAAACAGTAAAATTTCACTTTTGTTAAAAGACAAGCATAGCAACTACCGTGTTTTCACAGTGGTGAAAACTCATGTTAAGTCCAGCACTGGGCTGCTTCTGCAATACGGAGCTTCAAAAGGGTCAAACCTGGCCTCATGCTCAAGGGTAGAGGACAAGCTATGAAATAATACAATGGCATGAGGAGCAGGATTAAAAGAAATGCCCACTGGAAGCATCACCGTACTGCAACACAATCTAATTTGCTTCTGTTATAGTTCCATGGTTTCTAGTATCTGAAATACTTTGGTTAAAGCTGACTGGGGAACCTCACACTGCAATTGAATACCTTCTTCCTTCTTGAGATAATATATACCTTGCGTTTTTTCTTCCTGAGAAGTTCTTGCATTCTCTTGGGGTTCTGGAATTTTTTCTTGTCCCAGGTGAAATATCTCTTGCCATCTGTATGTTCTATGTCCAGCCATATCACGTCATAAGGAATGTCATGTTCATCAAAACCTGCATCAACTGCCTTGACGTCTTGTTCATCTTCATAATTCCACCGGCACTGATGGTAGCCCAGAGAAAAGAGGGGAGGTAGTGCTTGAGTTCCTAGGAAGAGTATATGAATGAAGCCAATACTTTTAATGCTTTTCAGGATTTTACCTACAGACTATGAAAGTTAACTTAAGAGCCATGATTAATATATGTGTCTGGATACAGGGAATTCTTGCCAACACTGTGACTAGAGCGCATTTTTCATATCCAAGAGACTGAACTCTTGAATTAACAATGCTTACAACAGGCTTAACAGCCAGAAGGCTGTAATGATAATGCATGACAGAGAAGGTATTTCTACTTTGATTTCTACTTTGGTGACACTGAAATATCATTGCAGTAAACAATATAATTTTATTCTTCATTTTTTTTCCTAACGTAAAAATATTACAGATGAGTTTAACTGTCATTAATGCAAGCAACTAAATAATCATAGAATTACAGAACATATGCAGTTGGATGGGAGCCACAATCATGAAGTTCAGCTTGAGTACAACAAGTGCCTCAGAAATTCTCTGATGTAAATCTGCTGTAATGATTTGAATTAGTACCTGTCAGTTGTGCAAACTGCTTGAAGATATCAAATGCCGTGGGTCCCATCAGCAGAAAAACATCAATGATTCCACTTTCTGACATCCAGCGCACATCAGTGAGAGGCACTGCCCTCTGCTTAGAAATATCTGCAGCAGATTCGGTGGGTATGTGCTTTAAAGGAAACCAAGGCAAAGCTGAATCACTTGCTATCAAATTGTTGTTCATTGAAAAACCAAAGATGGAAACCCAAAAGATCTTACCACTAACATGTTGTCTGGCAGACATTAGGAGTATGCACTCCAAGTGTATTATACATAATTTACAAATTCTTTATGTTGCATATCAGTTACACAAAATAAAGATGACAGAAAATGGATAATGAGGGGCAAAAGAATTACAATTTTTCTGTGATTAGAGTATAATCTCACAGCATATTTGCTGCAGGATCTTTAGAATCATTCACTAACAAAGAAAACTAATAATTTTAACTATATAATCAAGTGTTGGAATAAAGCAAGATTTTTTCACTATTTCAACTTTAGTAAAAATCATGTATTTGTGCTTCAAGATGTGAGCTTATCTCCTGAACTTCTTGTTTCTTGAAGACCAGCTACATTCTACAGATATATGAGCCTGCTGAGCAGAGACGTGCTAATTTCAATAATTTATAAAATTTATCAAATCCAAAAAGTGGTCAAGTTTTGGTCCACCCTTTTACATTTCTTCTCCAACAGCGCATATTTCTTCTCTCCCTTCTTTTGTACACCTATTAAGTCGTAAGTTCCATAATTTGCCTTTTGAAAGAAATTCTGTTCTTTTCAGTGGTTTAATACAACAAATTCTGTAGTAGGAAGGACAGTAGAAAGAGATCGACAATTTTTCATTAGGGAGCAATAGAAAAATCTCCAACAATGCTGTCATCTTCCTTTTGGCCCTAACTTGTGGTGTTTTTGGTGGTTATTAAATTCTGAGGAAAGTGGGCTAATCTCACCTCAGCTACTGCCTTTGTATTAATCTCTACCAGTGTTTCCGAAGAATTCAGCCAGAAGATCCCCAGAGTTCTGTCAGGTTTGTGTGCTATGAGAAGTGGCACTGAACCATAAATGCCTATCTTGTCGTGTATCTTGTGGCCAAAGATGTCCAAATTATAAAGCCGGTATGCATCACCATCACTAGGACAAACAGACAGATATCTTTGTTAGATATAAGCATCCTTCACTAAGCCAATTTTAGCTCTACTATACTTCCAACGAACACAGTGAGCATGCTGTATTATAGTCTTATGTTTAGCACCCAGGGCACAAATGTGGACAGCCTAGAATGCAACATCTTTGCCTCTACCTATCTGAACCGAGTAATATTATTGCTATTGAGACTACTGCTATTTTGATCCAAGTCCTAAAAAACTGAATTCTGAATTCTGTCCTCCATGGAGTTGCTCCTTTAAGAGTTATGCCTTTTTTTTTTATTGCATGGTTAGTCATGTTTAAGCAGAAAAAATTGAGAGAGAACAGAAGAGATCATTTATTAAGTTGAAGAACATAAAGCTGAGCAACTTACTCCCTATGGAAAGTCTGTGATTCAGTTTGCTCTATCATTAAACTAAAACACACGTGATACAATATACTTGTATAAATATATGCAATGTTGCATAAAATACAAAATATTTAATACAAAATTGTTTGCAGTAAATTATTGAGACAGTGTTGCAATTCCCCTCTACAGTAATGAAATCTGCCATATTTACCTTGTGTTTTTGAGAAGAAGTGATTCTGTATGTTGTGGTATTCCATAAAGATGGTCAAATCCGTGTAAAGAGAAGTCCATGCCTACAGAACTAGGACCTGTGATAACAACATTAAAACAGAAGAGTACAGAGTTCCATTCTCAGACTTTGCTGAAAGCAACAAAGCAGAACAACCTAATTGAAAAAATGAAAAAATAAGCAAGTTTTAACAATTAGCTATGTCAAACTTGCTTTCAGCTTCTTTTGTTATAACTTATGTACTGCAGAGGTAATCTTTTCAATATTCTTCCAGTTTTTATTTGCTTAAGAAGATGAATTGCCTTTATAGGAAAGAAAAAAAAACCAAAACAACAGAAAAACAAACATGTAATAGTGGATAACTCCTTTACTGTGTAGTAATACTACTTAAAATTATCTCATTTCTACCCCAGTACTTGCAAGGCAAGCTTAGTGGCACAATGGTGCAGCAAAATGAATGCTAGAATAGCTTTTCTAATACTCTTCTCTTCAGCTTCAGCCAGAGGAGTAGCATAGAGGAGAGCTGCTGCCAATGATATCATCGTGTCATGTTACTCAATCCAGAGGAAATTCTGGGAGGTGACTAGAGAATGTCTAGACTGACAAGCAGTGGCTTCAGTATCAGTGTTTCACCACAGGGACCTCACTCTTCCATTACTGAGAAGGAGCACAATCATGACGCTGGCCTAATATATCAGATACAGCATGAACAACAAGGATGACAGTCTCCTGCCTTTAATGTCTCAACTGTGAAGAAGCCCTTGTCACTATAAGAAAGCTTCCCTCTGCATACTGCAGTTGCTGGGCAGTGCCATTTGCTATAGAAAGCAGCACAACAGAAATAACTAACAGACAAAGCAAACCAAATTAGTTAATGCAACAGGACAGACAGAAAAAAGGCCATGGGTTTTCATAAACTATAATTTAAATGGCATCTGAGCTACTGACTGGCAGATATTAATACCCTTCTTAGTATCCCTTAGCCCTGCTCAGCATTTTCCTTTTTAGTTCTTTTTAGAGGTTCTCTGTGAAAATTATTGCTTACCTATCGTGATTTGTGAATAAACAAGTGAAATCAATGTTATGTGATAATGCATTAAAAAAAAAGACAAACAACAACATATAGTATACTACGTAGTAGTTGGCTGCTGTCAGAAACAGCACAGAGTTAGCTGATGAAATGGGTCACATTTAACCTGCTTCCTCCTCAACAGGAATCTAATGAACACTTTCAGTTCTTTTGTCAAATATGTTATCCACTGACACAATATAGGCAAGTTAAAAGGAGTGAGGAAGACACTGACAAATGTTAAGTAACTAAGCAGTGATATGAATGTACAGAGGCAAGTACAAAGCAGTAAAACTGTTTTCAGAACTACGCTGAGACTTACCATGAGCTTTGATGTCTAAGAAACTGCCAAATTTCTCTTGCCAGAGACCTAGATCCTCCTGATTATCCTGCATAAACAGAAATAGCTAAGCCTGTAAGTGCAACTGCTCTCACCATGTATTAAGAAAAATATCTTCATTCAGATGAGATTCACACATTATTAACTGTTGTTTTTTGTAGGTGTTTGTTGACTTTTTTTCTTTTCTTTCTTTCCCTTTTTTTTTTTTTTTTTTGTTTCCAAATGGGGCTAAAACAAGTAAATGCAAAATGCAATTTATATTCTGCTGCAGCAGTGTGTCTCCCCCAAAGCAAAATCACTCTTTGGCAGAGTCCAGACTTCGGAGCAAACATACTGAAAGCAGCACAGCTCCTCCCACTTTTAACTAGATAGTGCAGTAAGCAGCCATCTGTTCTACAGGAGGCTAAAATTACATCATAGGCATAACTCAGCCTCCTGAGAAAACTGGTATGTGCTATATGTACTGCCAGGATTGGTCTTTTCCACAATGAATCCTACAACAGTACTAAGCATGGATGTACATGCAGGTGTATCTTTGGACTGCTACAGAACAGGTCTTTTTCTTTTGAAATGCTCTTTAAAAGGAAAAGAGATCTTTAAAATGACCAAATACTACCATGAACTTCCCTGTACTTTGAATTAAATGACCAAGAACAAAAGAGCAAGAATTATCTAAATAAAAAGGCCACAGAAAGACGTTTTAAAGCCTAACTGGTGTCTCTTATTGCCCTGGTAAAAGCACATGAACTTTAATTCAACTACGGATTTGAAAAATATCTCTGTCTTAAATACCAGGTCCTGAATTTCTGAATTTCACTAAGCAAAAGTTACATCAGATACATCTCATAAAGGAATAGTCGACGTTGGGGGCCTTCGGTCACAACCACATCGCATGTGAATGAATGGCCCAAAAGTCCAAAAAGCAGTGGCTGGCCCTTAGTTTGGCTGTCTGTGACTTTCTGAGAAAAAAATCATAAAATGTGATTCTATTTACTCAGTTACCTCTTCTACACAATACTAACGCTGGAATTGGAGTAAGTGTGGGTTACCTTAGAGGAATCACCTGCTGCCTCCTCATTTTCTGTGGTAGGGTTTCTAGTGAAAACAAATATATAATCAGTTTATTCTTAACATATGGAAAGATTTCAAACAAAATTCACATATCGTTATGTATTGCCTTAAATATTATATAGATGTTTTACAATCATTGAATCATGTAGGTTGGAAAAGACCTTCAAGATTGTCAAGTCCAACCACCAACCTGACCTACCAAGCTGCTATCACTAAACAGTGTCCCTTAATGCCACATTTACACATCTCTTAAATACCTCCAGGGAAGGGGGGCTCTACCACTTTCCTGGGCAGCCTGTTTCAATGCTTGATGACCTTTTCTATGAAAAAAATCTTCCTAAAGTCCAATATAAACCTTCCTTGGCTCAACTTGAGATTGTTTCCTTATGTCTTGAGGCGCTGAACTATACTGAAAACTGAGGTTATACTTGAGAACTTCAATTGGCAAATTATTTTAATATTCAGTGTCTTAAAATAACCTTAACTCCATGCCTGAATTAAGTTCATCCTTTTGGCTTTCACATTTGCTTCTACCTGTGCCAGCATTTTACTCACCTAGAAGATCCTCATGTCTTTATTCTTAATTAGTGGTTCTATGTTAATTAAAATTTTTGAAATGATTCTTACTATGAGAAAAGCACTTACTATGCTTTTTTCCTAGCCATGTAATATTCTGCACTGTAGCTTCTCAGCCTTCCAGAATTTTGCAGTGGGACTGACCTGAAAGCTCTTGCAGCTGCATGGAAGGTGTTAATTCAAACAGAACTTACTTGACGAGCTTATAAGGTGAATAAATCTTAGCTAAAGAATAAGTTTAGTCATAAGTGGAGGTAAAACTAAGAATGTTACACTATCACTGCTCACTATCAAGAAAAACAAGGGGAACAAGACACCAGTTTATTACAGAATTGGCAAATAAAGGTGGTTAGCATGAGCATCTGGCTTCTGTGACAGATCCAAACAGTTTGCATTTAATTCCTTTTTTAAGGCTTCACTAGCATACTTACTGGTATTTAGTAAATGAGAATATAAATTTCAACGCATGAGAGCTTGTGTTGTAGAAATTTCAATTCCCATTGGATTGTTTACGTTCAACTACAGTGAAATTAGTATATGGAGGATAAAAAAATACTGTACCTATCACTGGGAGGTGGTTGTAGGTGCTCAAAATATAACAACCCATTGGAATTCATGCTCAGAACAGTCTCATCCTTGAACTGTAGCTCAACCTGCAAGGGGTTTGCTGTGAGTCGAAGCTTGTAGTCCTCATTAACACTTGTCAACACCAAAACACCTTCCTCCTTCTGGGACATAGAGAGTCTGGCAAATGAAAAGCAACAACAGCTTTATATGAACCAGCAGCACATGAAATCCACTGTAGCTAAATAACAGTTTGAAATACAAAATGAGCGGAGACTATCTCTGTACATTACAAAAACCTCAAGGCTTGAGTTGAGGTGAAGAACCCCAGAAATAAGTGCTGTGTTCAGGCTTCACTGCACAGTGCAGCAGGTGACTAGAGAACAACCATGAAAATTACCCATAGTTTGCATTTCTTTCACATTTGCATGTAATGCATTTGGTACAAATAATGCAACATAATAAGCAGGCTATTTTTTCACTATGTCAAATAGTCTGAAGTTTTTCATATGTATGACTAAACTTTCACCTCTGTATCTAGCATGATTTTTTGAATGTAACCACACACATTTTTATTTTCTCTTCCTGTAACAATATTATATCACAGAGAAACAGCTGTACTGTAGCACAGATAAGAGAAAACAACTTTGCAAATAAAACTGTAAGTTACTAAGGTGCTAAATCACCTTCCCATCACTTACTTCTGGGTGGCAGGTTCCTTTACAAGAACATCAGGAACTTCGTATCTTGCTCTGAGAGGAGCTGCCTCATTAATTTTAAGCCTAAAAATATTGCCTTCTATTTTGTAGATTTCCACTTGTAGAAGAACCTGGGAGCAAAAACACAGATAAACTGGAAGTGATAAAAAAAAATCAACTTACTTTTCAACTCAACATCATCAGATACTTATTGTCTGGAAAAAAATCCGCATGCCTGCTATCTGCTTTCTTTTCTTTAGCATTACAAAGCAACTATTACCATCCATCTGAATTCACACCAGCCAAATCTGCTTTACTGCTTTGAAGACATAACTCTTTTTTTAAGTTGAGTCTTTATTTTCAAGTCTCTCATGCCTAGCATTATGTAGCTCTCTCCACAGGCAGCAATGAAAACAGGGATGGTAAACACTAATGTTGAAGTATGGATAATTTTACTACTGTGCTACTAACGTAAGTAGCAGGGAACTACTGAGATGTGGGCTTTCTGCAAAAGCATCAGTGATCGGTGTTCATTGGTACTCACAGTGGTACTCACACTGATGAACCACATCAAAAAGACAACTGAAGAAAGCAGATGATACTGACCTACTCATCAAGATGTGAAACTTGCTATTTTACACTTCTTGGAAGTGTAAAGTCACTTTGTTCTAGTTCATACAAAATGACTTTTTTTTTTTTTCTTTTTTTCCCCACCTGTGGGGAATCTCTGTAGTCAAATGTTTTTTTCTGTGGATTCCCACCTCTCCCCTGTTTTTTCATTTTCTGAATCTTTTCTCCTCCAAGACACAAAATTGGCTTAAGAATTTTGGCCTGGTATCTTTTCCTTTCACCTGGAAGATGATCAGCATCACTGTCTTCAGAGGCATGCTTTTTGCACAGTCTCAAGTTGACAAATGAATACTGAACAGCAAGGACATTTTTAGGCTAATGCTTTGCATCGTTATGCAACTAGCACTGAAATCTCTCAAAACCTTCTGCAAATATTATCAGACCTACTGATGATAATCACTCCTTGTTCTGTGTGCACCCTCTTATACCAGGTGAGATCTCACCTTATTCTCCTCATGAGTAATTTGGAATTTAACATTCTCATCACTTAATGAGACTGTATCCAACAGCGCTCGATACAAGGATTTTCCAGGACGAAGAAGTTTCTGACGTCTGTCAAGACAGAAAATTATTTTCAGTCTCCCTAATTGTTGTGGCTTCTATCACACATAGGAATGTAATATTAAAAATGTGTAATTAATAAATGTCTCAATTTTTTTTCAAACAATTATTATCAGGAATAAAAAGGAATATAATTCTAAGCACACATTGGTGTATATGAATGATATGTAGAATAGTGGGATTTGGTCATTCATCGTAATCCCCCTATGTTATTTTTTTTTAAATAATAACAGGCTTAATTCAAGTAACCAAATTCTCAGCTGCCCGATTGCTTTCCACTTTCTCCAGTAACTCAGAAATTTCAGCTGAATAATCCATTTTTTATTTTCTGTCATACACCACTGCTTGGTATCCAACTCTCCAGAGAACAGCTTCTACATTATATAGAGATTAAGCAACACATTTGTAAACTCGTGGATATACAGCGAAGAGAATACTTTTCAATGGATACTCCCGGACCTACAAACCTGAGGTTATCTTTTTCACAAGACCCTGTGCTTGAGCTGTGAAACTAAGAGCTGGGACAGAAGGAGGGGAGTGGCCAAGGGGCTGCTGCTGAGTTTTGACTGCGCTTTCACAGAATCACAGAATAGCCGGGGTTGGAAGGGACATCAAGGATCATGAATCTCCAACCCCCCTGCTACATGCAGGGCCACCAACCTCCCCATTTAATATTAGACCTGGCTGCCCAGGATCCCATTCAGTCTTTTGGTCTTTATTATGTTGTTAGGACAGAGACCCTGAAACAAAGTCTCCATCAGCTGTTTGGAGGATTCTCCTTGCTGAGTCAGATCTTATGAAGACAATCTGAAAATCTTTAAAGGAATGCTTCTTTATCAATAACTGGACTTGGTTCCCTTGCAAGCAGACAATGCACAAATGTGAGCAACCACATAAAATTTTTATTTTAAAAGTAGAGCAAACATAAGATCTGAGGCTTGATAATATGTGGCAACTTCCTGTTGAGAAATGGGGTGTCTTAAAGTCAAAATGGTGACAGACTAGAGGGCTGATGTGAAAGGAGGAGACTTGCTCCCAAGGGCAAAATGCTATTTGGGGTTTCACAGCATAATTTCCTGCAGAACAGGAATGAGTATTTGAAACTGTAACCAGTACAACAGTGGCTAATTGCTGTATTACTGGGCATTACTATTACTCTTTTTATCCAGGCAATACTGGATAGAAGACAATAGAGGTGAGATTCCACTTTTTAAAATATGCTGAATAGCACATGCTGACAGGTGAGTGGCACAGTAAGGTACATCCTGAAAGTAGCACACTTGCTGTGATTAAAAGCTGATGTGAAACTATTTCCTATAACTTTAAACACTGACAGTTTACAAAAACCTATACTACAGTTCTTCTCTTTACCTGTAGAAAGCAATCTGGTTGCACTCCTTAAAGTTGCTTTTGTCCACAGCTTCATCTTGAATGCTGGAAAGAGCAGATAATATTTAAATGTGACACATCAGCTGATGGGTGTCCTCAAGAGCAGTGGGGATTAAGCAGAGCTCAGACAACTGTGACATAAAACATGCTGGACTTTGAACTGCTGTGTTTGGATATGGGAAGAATTTTTACTCGTTTAGTTCAGTACTATAGCACTTCCTTTTAAACCTGAGTAATTCTGACAAACAATTGAATCTGTGAGTAACAGGGCTGAATTCTCACACAAGTGAATTCTTAGGGCTTTTCATTTTTTTGCAAGTTTTGTATCTACAGCCCTTATAGTTCAACAAGCTCCTGTACTAAGAATGGGGAATCAGACAGGACTGGCAGAAAAGCAGAAAGCCTGCAGCCCTTTTTTCCCTGCAGAGGGCCTGATGAGGGAGGGAGGCTGCAGATGGCTCTGTATTACTTCCAGAGAACTTCTGGCCGATTAGAAAACAGAAAATTGTTGGCTTGCCTGAAATAATGGACTGTCATCAGAGCATTTCCCCCGGCATATTGAGTTCTGCCTCACACGGAAGAGAGTAAGGCTTTAGTACCAACGGATACAGAGCAGAAGCTCGTAAAATACTTACTGATGAAATACGTACAAAAATACCCACAGATGACAGCCATGACGACTTAGTCACAAGCGAACTAAACTTCAACATACCCGGGTCACCGCACAGTCCTCACGGCGACCACCCACCCCAGCAATGCTGCCCTTCCTCCTGCCGCACGCGTCCGTGCGCCCGGGGATAGCACTGGCCCGGCGGCCGCAGGCCTGCCTTTACCCTGGCCGGCTCCGGGCCATTCTTGGGGCCGGGCTCGCCGCCGCTATCTACCCCGGTGCGCAGCCGACCGGCACGGCGGGGAGCGAGGGGAGGCCGGGCCGAGGAGCCGTTACCAGGCGGCGTTACCTGGCTTCCCCCTGCGCGGCCGCCTCCATCGCGGCGCCGGGCCTTTCCGCGGCAGCGCGGCGCCGCAGTCACAGAGCGAACCGCCGGGCGGCGGCGGCGGGGGGGCACCCGGGCCCAGGCGAGCAGCGGCTCCGCCCCCGCCGCCCCACGGAGCCGCGTAGCTCGCGGGGAGCGGAAGAGGTGCGGCCACGGCCTCCGTGCGGCGGGATGGCGGCGGTGCCGCGGTGCGGGGGGTGGCGGCGGCCGGGGGCCGTCCCGCTGAGACTGTTGGCGTTGTTGGCGCTGGCGGGCGCGGCGGGAGCCGGGCAGCTCTCTAAATGGCGGGTCCCGGTGCCAATGGTGAGTGCGGGCATCGGAGGCCGAAGGTGCGCTGCTCGCGTGTCGGGGAACGTGGCGTTCCCGTCCGCGGCCCCCGGTCCGCCCGGGGTCCTTCTGCCCGAATTCGGCCACGGTCGGCGGTGGCCGCGGGGCGGAGGGAGGCGGCTGTGCGGGCGGCTCGGGCGGAGCGGCTCCGTGAGGCTCGAGGGGCCCGGGCTGGGGGCAGCGGCCCTGTGGCGCGGCTGGGGCCTGGCGGGGGAAAGCCGGGGCTGAGTGGGAGGCGAAGGGTTTTCTGTATTTCTGTGCCGAGCTCTGTGTGAAACGGCGTGGGGAAAACTGCGTTAAACTCGGTGTGTCGAACTGTAGAAGGGAGCAATGTGTGTTTCGTGTGAGAATGGGAGCAAAATTACAAGAGTTGGGATGAACACCCCTGTTGATTTTAAGAGTGAAAGTTTCTGTGGTTGGATAAGGTCCAGATCTTCTTATCGGCAAGAAAATGCAAATCGATATAATAAACTATGGTAAAATTGATTGAGTTTTGCAGAACGACAACAGAAAAGTCTCTTAAGCCATCTTTGTGAGCAGATTGAGCGGGTGGTGAAGCATGACTGGAAAATCCAGTGAGACTGGCTTCTGGTTGTCATTTGCTTCCATTTCAGTATTGATTTAAAACTTAGAGTGCAAAGCAATGTGTAAACTGGGTGTTGTGAAGCCCTCTGATAATTTCTTCTCTTTTTGCCTTTCCAGGGGAAGAAGTTCTTTAACTTTGGGAAGATTCTCTTCAGCAACACCACCATCTTTCTGAGATGTAAGTGGTCCCAAGGGCTTATGCTGTGCATGCTGTCACTCTACTGTTTCACATAGTCTCTATTTCACGTTTTGGGACCAAATGACTGTGAAGTGTTTAATGGAACTGATTGAAATGACACCTTGTTTCCTGTCACTGGGTGAAAGCTGCAGCTCTGATATCACTGAGTCTGAGAGCAGTGTTGAAGCTGTTGAAGACATGATCTGTTTTGGCTACAGCAGAAATGGAGGGTTCTGTTCAGGCAAGGCAGTGGAGTGAGATGGGCGATGAGAGTACCATTTCAGGTAGACAGTAATGAGGTGTGGGATGTGCTGAGCTCTGTAGTGAAATGTGCTAACTGGCCCCATGTGGAGAGAGTTTGAGTCTTGACTGGGTGAGGGGCTGTTTATATTGCAGAATCACTGGTGGGTGACTGTTGACTGTGCTTGTGAGGTTTTAGGGGACACCTACAACTCTGGAACTGATAAGAGGGTGAAATTAAACACTGAGACAGAACTTTCCTGAAGGCTGTTTTGTCTTCATGATCACGGTGTATGAGTGAGCTACAGAGAAAACACCTACCTTTGCAGACTTCATGTTTGTTTTGTTCTATTGTTTATTGCTGATCTGGCCAACTTTGGACTACATAGATCAGTGCCCTAAGGAGAGTATAAGTCAAATAGCCTTGATCTGTAAGCACAAAGACAGTGCTGTGATGTAGGCGACTTGAGGAAGTGGCTGATTTTGCAAGGGTGACATCTTTACCATGCACTTCTGAGGGGTTGTTTGCACTAGTTCTTACCAGTGATGAGAAGGTGAAGCTCTCCATCTGCTGATTGAGTAGTTATAAATGTAGAGTGTCTGTGATTGGCTTTTTGTGTTTGTATTAAATGAGGAAATGTCACTTCAGGAATAGTCAGTGGAATCCGTGCCTTTGTCACTTCCAGACTTACTGCAATGATTTCATTCTTTATAACTGAAAAAAATTATGGTGGTAGAACTATTAACTGGTGAGTTTTGATTAAATTGTATACTTCTTTATGTTTAGTACTTTCTGTATTATTATTCAGGTTTAAATTCAGATGCCTGCCTATCTTGGGACAGTGCTTCAAAGGGAGCTTATTAAAGTGCCTCCGTCAACCCCAGGTGAATCTGAAATAGGAGGCTAGTGTAAAGGTGGTTATTAGTGAAGACCCATCAGGTCAGAATGGTTTTCCCATTTATCAAGTATGGCTTAAATGCTGAGTTTCACAGTTCTCAGGAAGGCAACAGCAGGTCTTGGGGGAAAGAATAGTGTTTTGGGAGAGCATCTTGAAGTTTAGTAGGGTTTAGAAATAGCATGATCATACTGATATTGCTTGTAAGGTTTAGGTTCCCACAACAAACTGTGGTAAATCTAGTCATGAGGTGTATGGCTGAAAAAACCAGGAGTAGGAAGAAACTAAGAAACTGAGAAAAAAGAATTTGTTACAAGTCAGATTAGTGGCAGATCTGGCAGTAAGAATTTAATCTCCTGGCTGCTGATACAGACTGCAGTTATGTGGTGTCGGCCTTTGAACAGGGGTAAAGCTTTAACATTCTCTGGTGAAGACATCTATTTTACATACCATTGTGTTTAAAAGATTTACGTGGACTGAGATTAGCACCTGTGCTTCCTCCTGCTTTTTCTCTTTCCCCTTGGGTTGTTGATTTTTTTTTTTTTATTTTTTTATTTTTTTTTTGTGATGTAGTCTGTGTGGTGGTATCTAATACTTCTGCTTTTTGCTTCTAACTGAGAAAGCTGCCACAGTTGTATAGCACTGTCTGCAATACATTTTTTTTATCTGATGATTTTCTTAAGTGCTATTCTTGAAGACATCTGGTTTCCTGTCTAGAATCATGCGGGAAATCCCACTTCATCTATAAATGAGTATAGAGAGTTTAATATTTGAGTTAAATGTTGCTGGTTTTGCTTGAGGGCAAAGGAACTTCGATTTCCTTGTTGCTGAATTCAGTAAATGCTATGGGTGACTTTTCTGTTCCGTAGGAGTATTTCCTTTTCAGCATTCCTGTAATGATTGCTTAGATTGGTACATTATTCTGGTCTTGTCCTGTTTTGCTTTTAGTTGGTGTTGCTGCTGAATGCAGATCTTCTGAATGCAGATCTTCAGAAATTCTATCTGTTTTTAATAGATGGAAAAGGCATTCAAAGTATTTTAAAAATAATTTTGTTTATAGCACAGCTCTGAGGTATTCCTGACTTAATCAGTTGTATCAGTAAGGTATCTTTCTCTTGAGAACTTGTCATATACCCACTCCATTGTAAGTGTTTGTTGCTTTTTAGTTGCTTTGTTTTGCCATCGGCAACATCTAGGGCTGTGAGGAGAATGTATGTATACCTTGTTTTCATGCATACCAGAACGTGTCATAAAGAAACTTATTTTTCAGTGATTGCATTCCTTTTTTTTTTTTTTTTTTAAATTGTTTTTTTTCCCGTGTCTTCAACATTGGGAACTAGCTCTACAGAGGCTTGGTTTGGTAGTCATGTGGCTTAAAGCTGGGTTAGTCAGTTAGGATTCCTTGGCAGGGTCTCTTAATATCTTTTTTTTTTTTTTTTTTATCTGCTATGGTCAGTAGAGGAGACAGTCACTGAAAGTTCTGCATGTGTAACGGATATGTAGTCTGAGATAATGTACACTGTGAAATTGTGGTGACAGCTCTACGAGAAACGTGCTGTCATTTATTTTCTTTCGGTACCTGTTGACTGGCAGAGCCCAGAAGTTTATATGGCTTCTGAACTGAGTAATGGCTGCTGGTTTTGCTTACATGTGAAGTTTACCTTCTGAACGTCAATTTTTCTTCACCAGGATTTAATTTGGAATGAGATTTGAGAAACAAGAATGATGGTGAAATCTTTCTTGATTGAATGATTACTTTTTTGTTATTCTATTCTACTATTCTTAGTATATTAAAATGGAAAGATGTAATATTTGGACTAAAGGCAACGTTGCAGTTTTGACAGTGAGCCACTGTGGGGATGGTTGTTGACTTGCAAAGCTTTACCTCTTCTGTTGTATTGGTGATAATATTAGTGTGTTTTAGTATTGGTATATCAAAAGTATCTATGCAAATTCCATGTAGTATTAACCTGCTGTATACTGACATATAGAATCATAGATGTATGTTGGAAAGGGAAATAATTTTATGTACTGTGATCATTTGGAGTCACTGCTGTCATCTTGTTTGCTTTTTGTTGTTGCTGGCACATTCCTTGTTGTCTTAAGACCAAAAAAATTCCAAATGATCTTCAGCTCTTTAGTGGAATTAATGTGATATTACAATAGATGCATACAAAAACAGACTTCAGTTTTTTTTTCCACTGAACAGTAGTGGATTATTTGAGAGTAATGTTCTTTTGTTCATTTACTTTTTGTGTTTAAACTCAATTACAATAGTTTGGCACAGAATGGAAGGAGCAGATTTACATAGAAAAGATGCCTTATATGTTGTTGTCTTTTTAGTTGAAGGCGATGAGAAGTCTTGTGATCCCTCCCAAGGCTACAATGTTACGTGGTACTTAAGATATTCTGATTGCTACAATGAAGTCTTCAACTTTGGGGTAAGAACTGTATGGAAAATGTGGACTGTGGTTTTTTTTGGTTTAAGCAGGTCTGAAACTGAGAGGATCAGGGACTGCTTATTTTACATCATCATTGCTTTGTTGGCCAAAAAAGAGAACCAACTTCTGCGTCACTGAGAAGATGATGGAGAGAAATAAATCTTCAGCTTTTGGGGATTAATGACCTTTCTGGGGGTAAAGTGGATGTATTTGTCAGAATTCTTCAAAATCCGGAAGCTGAAATAAGTGTATCAACTTTGAACTGAAGTGTGTGAGTTTATCTGTCGATTGAGAATATTATTTACAGAAGTGCTTAATGACAGCCAATGGGAAATAATATATTCATGTTTAGTCTTAATTCTGTTCTTTTTCACATGTATGTTCAAAGAAGTAGTGATTTATATGAAAGGCGTAGTGTGTGTTTCAGATGTGGTAGAACACAGCTGTGGTTTATACTGTTTGTAACACATTTTCCTTGTTTACTTAAAATATTAACTATGACAGTTGTAACTATTAGCCTAGCACAGTACTGAGGTATTAAATCTCTTCATAATTATGTGGAGTTTATTCATACAGACTCAAGTTCTCGCTAGTTGCTTTACCACTGCAGGAGTAGATTTTTTTTTTTTAATTGAGTATTAATTCTTACTCAGATTTTGTGTGTGTTTGTGTGTATCTGTATCCTTTCTGGAGGGAAAAGGGTCCTGCATGGCTTCTGGCCTATTAAACTCTGCTTAAGAGTTTATTCAGAGGGAAGTTTTGGTGCTTTCCAGGTCTTGCAGCTGCCTGCTCAGATGAAACATTTGATATAATGAATACTAATTTAAATTCTCTTCTCTGTTTGGCAGGAAGAACAGGCAGAAAGTTATTTTGGGACTACGTCTGAAGAGCATCCAGGCTGGTCAGGGTACTATGCCACATCTTCTCTCGTCTTTCCAAATTGCTCCAAGCTGTTCAAGCCCCAGGTATGGATAGAAATTTTAGTTTGCCCTATTCCCTCATACAGCAGACAGATGGCATTAGATCCTGCTAAATGAGGATCACTCACATGAGGATTGCTATAGGTTGGAAAGTACTTTTTTTTTTTGGTCTGTTTATGAGAACCAAATTGCAGCAGTGACTACTGAATTTGTGCTTTACTTTTGATTTTCTGTTCGACTTGTGACCCACCTTGAGAAAAAATACCCACACTTTAAAATTGAGTTCTTCTTTTTGTTTGTGGTTATGTGCTCTGAATTTCATTTAGCACTAAGAGCTGAGTTATGGAGGTGTACTGCTAGATGAGTAACAGTGAGCATCTCTGGCAATAGAACGAATCTCCTGTTGAATTTGGCCCAGTGGAGGACTGGGAAATTGGTTAAAAGAAAAAGAAAACAGAGCGAAATGGTGGTTGAAATGGGAAAAAAAAAACAAGAAAGACAGTGCCATGTGACTTTGTGAAATAATGTTTGAACAAAGGCTCTGTGCCAGCTATATATATCACCAGAAGCTGTGCAGTCACATTAGTGGTGGTGTCAACGTAACAGTCTGGTTTTTCTTATGATGTACCTAAGGATTTGAAGCAAACTGTGCCATGTTGTGTCTTTATTGAACCACTCCTGATTTAGACAAGAAGGTGTGAGTAGAAAATACTGGGAGTTGTCTCCCAGCTGTTGAATCTAGTTTTTTCTTCTTTCCTGAAGAAAACAGCTTGCCTAAAGGTGACTTGAAAAGGTTTTTTAATGATCTGATTTGCACACCTCTAACTCCTTTCATATGTGAAGATGACTTGAAAGGAGTTTTTAAAATACACAAATACTGCCTACTTTTTAGGTTTATTAATATTAGAAATATTTGTTCTGTTTTTCCATGGTTTTATAGAAAAGCTGTTGAGGGCTTGTCTGTGTAATATGAACTGAGGCATCTCAACTGAATATTGATGAAGCTGGGAATTTTAAAAACTTTTAGTGATTTTTTTTCCTCCCATTCCTTTGCAAAGTCTACTGAAATTTTAACAAGTTATTCTTCCCAGGTATTCATTTTTGAACTTTGATATGAATGGCTCCTTATTAGTTTTTGGCTTTGTTTCTTGTGATACAGTAGTTTCACTAGGTTTAGAGTTTGAGACAGTTGGCAGATCCTGGATCCTTGTCTGCATAATAGACATACATTTTTCTGGGGGCTTTTTTTGCATGTACCAAGGCAGAAATCCCAAAATCTCGTGTCTGTCCTTGCAAGTGCCATTTAGTAATGGAGGTAGCTAACAGATGCATATTTGGGAAGTAACATTAATTTCACTGCTGTCATGTCTACAGATCCAGCTCTAAAAATACAGACCTGTTGTATAAGAGAGGAAGGAGAGAAGCAATTCTCAAGTGACAAAATATTAATCTAAGTATTCAAAATTCCCTGGACAGTTGTTTGATTTAATTAAAGAAATGAGAACTCTCCAATGCTGCTGCTGTTTCAGAAAATCCTTCCTTAAATCTTTAATGGCAGCGATGTCATGTTAACACACAGTACCTATAAATACTGTACGTTTTAAATTTTTTTCTTTTTTTTTTTTTTTTTTTACTCTTACAGGTTTTCTATAAAGAATTTGTTCATCCAGAGCCTCTCTCACCTGAGAAACAAGAGGTATATTTTTTCCTTGTAGTGAATGAGCATAGAAGTGAAAGAAAGAGTTTTGATATCCTGTCTTATCCATTTTCTGTTTTTCTCTAAGGGCATGAAAGATAAGGCAGAGAGTGAGGGAAATCGCACGATGGTGGCAGATAAAACTGTATGTATTTTGAATTGAAATGCAATTTGGAATCCAGTGGTGTAGGATTTTTGCAATTTTTTTAGAAGAAGAGCTAGAAATTATCTAGTGATGTTTACAGGAGTAGTACAGTTTTGTTGCATGTTTGTTTTGTTTTGCAGGGACAGGTGGGTATGGAAGTGGGGGGGATACTTTCTGAGACTTTCATTTGCTTTAGCCTGAAAATAGATTTGGGGGGAGAATGGGGGTGGAGGAAATGGCTATAAGTATATTTATAATGATTCTTCCATGTGAAATATAGAACTTTAATCATTCAAAATCATGGTGTGAATAATTTAAAAAAAATATCAGCCTTAAGGTGAAGTAATGAAGTAATCACTGCTGTAAGAGATCACTATTATTTAGAGATTACATTTGTTTTCGTCTTGACCTAATCAGTACTTTAAAACATTGTATGTAACAAGGTGAATGATTTCTTTTGGGTTTCTGTTAGCATTTTTATTATGTGTTATGTTCAAGTCTTAACCAGGAACAGTTATTAAAATAACTTCACACTGAATTTCCTGAATGCAAAAAAAAAAAAAATAAAAATTCACTTCCTTATACTATTAACAAGGCCATAAGGCTAGAAAGTAAATGTGTGGCTGTGGAATAAGGAATCAGTGCAGCAAAAGATAGACTTTTCCTTTAAAATACATCTATTTTATTTCAGGCTTGGTATTTTTTTAACTAAGCAGTTTAACTTATATTAGCATAAACATTTTTGATGCATAAAATTCTGTTTGCTTTAAGTCTCGTAGTCAAGAGGACTCTTAGAAGAAAAGCATGGACTTGATACTGAAGTTCTCTTGGAGATGCCATTATTAAAACTCTTGTACTAGGTCTACTTTGGTCTTGCAAGCAGCGTATGTGTACACAGTCCTAGCTTTTACCTCAGAGCTTCTGGTGAACAATTGCAGTTCTTGATATGGTTTGGATTGCCTAGTTGTAGAACTAAGTTTTGTGCACTGGAACTCAAAATAAAATCTCTGATTTTATGTATTTATTTCCCTATGGTTCAAATACTTAATCGGGTAAGCTTCCTTGCTCTTAGTTTACTAGTAATATTTGGTTCTTAGAGGCATGAGAGCTTTCAGAGGCAGTAGTAGTTTCCAGAGGAAATGACTAATAAGGAATTTTTAAAATTCTCTTCAGTTTATCTTTTATCTCTTTTATCTTACACTGTAACTTAGTCTTCGCCAGAGAGCCAAGTTGTATGCCGGTGCCCTGTTGTAAAGCACTTACTTTCAGGAGTCAAGAAGCATCGCTGACAATCTGTATTCCTAAACTGACAACAAGGAATAGCAGCTTTATTGAATTCTTTGTAATGTTTGCAATACTTTTGAGATCACTCTTGCAATAAGACAGTACACAATTTCTTAGTAAGCCCTCATCACCTCTTCAGTCTTTTAATGATTCTTCTGGATTCAAATGTAGGCAAATTTCAGACTATTTAGATATGACTCATAAATTAATTAAAAAAAAAAAAAAAGTAACAAAACAAAACACATCAAATATTTATTAACAAGCTTTAGGATCACGATCAGATGAACTTTTTTTTTATATGGAAGATAGCACCCATGTATGGAGAGCGTACTCTCATCTATTTCATGTACTATTTTGTTTTTTCATATGTTATTTACATGCAGACATTTCATTTTCAGACAATGAATGCTGTTATTAAAACTTGGAGAGATGGGCCGTATATATTTATTGTGCAAATTGGAGTTACAGCTCCGAAAGATTCTGCTAACAAACTTAAAAGAGCGGAGAGAACAACACCTGCCTCAAATCCTAAAGAAAAGCTCTTCACAAGTAAGACAGCTAAAAATATACTGCTTTCTTAATGTATAACATTCTGACTGGTTTCTAAGGTACTTCTTTATATATACTACTTAGTTCATTTTTGTAAGTCACTATCTTTGACTTCACATAATATACATAGTACTGACCACAACATCTTAAGATAATGTGATGACTTTGGTGGCTAATGAGAGTGGTTTGACAATCTTAAGGTTGTTGGTCTATCAGCTTAATGATGGAAGTAGAGAAAATACCCAAGCAATTCAATTTTGAGGGTTTTTTTTTTTTTTTAATGATCAGACCAACGTAATGATTTACATCAATAAGCTCAAATCATGTAGAACATAATTTCAAAATGACAGCTATGGCCTTTATATTATCGTTGCACTGATAGATAAAATACAATTATCCATGTTTTAGAGAAGACTTAAAATCCACTTAAAAAGATAGTACGTGTATTTTCAAACTTTACTGTTACACATTAATCCACAGCACAAAGTACTGTAACTTGAAGTGCTACTGCAAGTTACTTGGTCACAAAGCATATAGTTTTAATTGCTTTAATATAATTTAATTAGTTGAATATGTTACGAGTTTTGTACTTGATTCCAAAGTGAAGTTAAATTTAAAGGCTTCTTCCATGAGAAGATGTGGGATTTCTTTATGCTTGAGTAAAAATTAGTTAAGTACCTTATAACCTGGCTTCCCACATTTGCTTCCTGCTTAAATTGGTTGCTGTGGTGTTTTTTTTTTTTTGACAGTGACAGTAGAACTCAAGGGGCCATATGAGTATCTATCACTTGCAGACTATCCTCTGATGATTGTAAGTAAAACAGTTTTGCTATCAAGTTGTCAGTGGATGTGAATCTCTGCTAAATACTCTCTTTCTGTGCTTAAGGGTGACAAAGGCTGTCAAAGCTTTCAAATACTAATCTGTGAGAAGTTTTTCTTGTAGTACTACATACAGGGTAGGGAAAACAGGTGTAGATTTCAGATATTTGCATATGCCGTTAATTTCTGCTTATGGATTGTTTGACTTGACGACTGTCAGTTTTTGTAGTTCCAGAAGGTATCAGTATAATTAAACTGAGCAATTTTACTGACACTCTTGTTTTTTTCCTTAGTTCATATCTTAGAAAATTCACTATTCTATTGTTTTGTTTACAGCTGCTGTTTCATTTGGCGTTGCTATGTTCTCTCATAGTCTCATCTTCCTTCTTCCACCAGCTATCCTCCACACTATGAGGAGGTCCTCAATACTGCTTAATAGTGAAAGCATAATTGAACTACAAAGAGCAAATTCCCCTTTTGTTCAAAGGGATTGCTGACTTGATCGATAGCTGCTTCTGTCAAGGATGCTTAGAAAATAAAAGAAGTTATCTAGTGTAGGCAGACTTTAGCTGGGGATCAATAATAAGTAAGATATCTAGCCTGTCTTTATTGTCAAGAGAAAACTGTAAATAGGAGAACCTCATGGTGTTTCTAAAATGTGTTTTACTTGCTGCATAAGTAAGAAGTTTCCAGCATTTCTGATGACTTGTATTTTGTAGGTGTGAATATCTGCATGTGGCAGGTCCAGAAAAAGGTCTCTGTCTACTTGTTTCTGTAATGGAATATCTGAATATGAACTGGCACATTTAGGTCCTTTGAACATTTGAACTGTGTGGATGCTTGGGCATGAAAACCTGTAAGGATCAGAAAACTGTTCTAAGAGATGTTTTCAGTTTGTGGAAGTTTTAAAGGATTGTGTAGCTAACTTCCATGCTTTTTCTGTAATGGAATGTTTGAATTTATATGTATGATTCTTCAATTTTTATTTTTCTTTCATCTGAGTGCACTACTTCTTGCTTCTCTTTGTATAATAGTTTTTCATGGTGATGTGTATTGTGTACGTATTCTTCGGAGTTCTGTGGCTTGCATGGTCAGCCTGTTACTGGAGGGATCTCCTGAGGATCCAGTTCTGGATTGGTGCTGTTATCTTCCTGGGGATGCTTGAGAAAGCAGTTTTCTATGCAGAGTTCCAGAACATCCGCTATACAGGGGAATCTGGTAAGTGACAATTGCAACTTGCACTTTCATTGATGGGCACAGCACTAATTATGCTAATATTGAATTAGTTGCACATATTGAATTAGTTAAAATTCTTCTGTAACCCTATATGATTACTTGAGGATTGCCTCAAAACAAAGAATGTGAAACAGAGTTTCTGTATGTCTTTTAATATACTGTAAATTCTTTTTATGATCTCTTGACAGCCTGTGCTCTTCTAAAACTAAAATGCTGTGTCTAAAACTTCTGATGTAGAGCTTCAGGAGCATAGAATGCTAGATTCTTTAAATATTCACTGTAAAACTCAATTGAGGTTTGAAACAGGACTTCTGAAGTGCAGCTTGTGATTCACATCTTACAGTTAGCCTTGGAAGGAGACTTTCAACTGTTTATTGTGACCCCATTGCCAATAACCTTTGGCTTTCAGCCAGTAGCCTGATAACTCATCATAGACAACTCTCAAAAAAAATCCTTTGGGACACTGTAGTATGCTTCCATCCTACGAATGAAATGAAGTAAAACTTCATTATGACTTTTTTAATTGGTCACATCACGGTACAGGAGGTTTTCTTGATTGGCTTGTTTGGAAGATTGTCCAGGCTAATATTGTGAATAAAAAAATGTATGGATCTTTACTTTCCACTTTCCTTGGATTTAATTTTCACTTTAAAAAAATAATTTTATTTTTAACAGTAAAAGACTTAGGTATTCTGAAACCTTACTCCAGACGTAGGCAATAAAGGCATTATACATTTTAATAGCCTACTTGCTGAAAATAAGTGTCTGCTCTTATACTACAATTATATGCAGTAGTCAATAAAATCCAAGTTATTTTTTATAACCTAGCATCTTCTTTGCTTTTTTTAGTTCAAGGAGCACTAATACTGGCAGAACTGCTTTCCGCTGTGAAACGTTCACTGGCTCGAACTCTGGTCATCATAGTCAGCCTGGGATATGGAATAGTCAAGTGAGTAAAAATCTGTTTTTCTACTAATTTAAGGTTGTGCTAATTTGCCTGCACTTTGCAACTTAAAAGATAGATGCTTGAGTTAAGTGGTGTAAAGCTCCTTCACTAGTCAACAGAGACATATACTTCCATGTGGTGATTGCTCCTTTTTTGCATCCCTTTGCTTACTGTTGCTTAGGGTTCTGAGAGTCACTGCTGAGCTCATAAATCTCTAGCAGAGATCTGCTTTAGGAGGCTTCTGCTCCTTATCTGTCTCCCCCAGCTGTATTATGTGGTAAAACAGTGTCATGTGGCATTGAGATCTTCTGTCAAATTGGGGTGTGTTGTGGGAACTGAAAAAGAAGATGGAGCCTGGGACTTCTTGAAATGGTAATAAAATGCTGAGGGAGTTAACTGTTACTGATCTCTTCCTTAGCTACATCAGGTCAAAAGACATTTAAAAAAAGGTAAGCGTAGGAGCACAATAATAAAATGATTCCAAAGACCTGGGGGTGACTTGTCACAAGAGGCTTTTATTTGCATGCCTCTTGCCTTGTGCTAAACTCGAGTTGATGTGACTTCATTCTTCTCCTGCACTAAAGATTAACTTCACTTTGTTTTTTTTACAGGCCTCGTCTTGGGGTTACTCTTCACAAAGTAGTTATGGCTGGAGCCCTTTATCTATTATTTTCTGGCATGGAAGGTGTTCTTAGAGTCACAGGGGTCAGTAACTGCTGCTTGAATTTTTCCTGTATGCTACAGGTTCTACTGTCTTAAAATTAAGAGCCAAGGGAGAATCCCAGAGATTCTCCAGAAGAATCCACAAAAGAAGGAAAAAAGACAATTGGCTAAATTCTGTAACTGTTGATGTGGTTTATTGATAACTCTTTTAAACTTGTCTGCTTTATGCATCTGGATGTAATTGTGTATTTTGAAATAGTTTTCATAATTTAGTCATTAGCTGGGTTCCAGATGCTGTTGTGACTTTAGATTGGGTAGAAATTTGAGGATGGAGGGCCAGTTCCAGACCTAAAGGTGATTCAACTGGCTATGAGTGTTGTTTTTTCTTAGTTTTTCTGTTTTTTTAAAAAAAGAAAAAAGTAAAAACAACAACAAAACCAAGCAAATCCAGCAATAAACAAACCAGTGTTTTATATTTGAGGCTGTACGTGAGGAAATGTTAGTGAGTTGTGCTGCTACTTGCTTCATTCTAGAAGTACTATTAGTGTGTAAATTTCTGTTATTGTTCACTGTTAGTGTCTCGGGACAAGGTATTTAACATGTTATATATTTGGTACTTTTTCAGTTTTTCTATGACACTCTGGCTCTGATAGCAAACTTGGCCCTGTCCATGATTGATGCCTGTATTATTTTGTGGATATCCTTTCATAAACTGTAGAAAGTTACAAGCTTGTTCACAGAACCGTTCATCTGATATTTTAGAAGCAGTAAAAAATGACTTGCTTTTATTATTTAGGACTTCCATAGTTGCTTGTATACTCAAAAGGCAACTTTTGCAACTTTCAGTCAAACCCGTGTGAGCATTGAGTTCTTCCATGAGTAGTGTAGAGGATGTAATTACTGTATCTCTAACAAGCTGATTGCTGACTTTCTATAACAGAAGTGGCCAGACTAAATCTTTGCAGCAGTGATCTTAACAGAGGCTCTTATTAATGCTGCTAAATTGACTTAATCTGGAAAACTACTTCTTGCCTTGCTGACAGAGAGTTGGGAACTGACAGTGTGCTATAGTTTGCTTTTGTCCTTTATAAACCGCTCTGTGCATTGAGTTGAACATCTTGTTCAAACACTTGTTTCTGTAATAAAACTCAGAAGCATTGTGGTGAAGTGTCTGCAGTTTCTCATAACATAGCCTGACACTCCTTGCTCCTGCACCTTGTTTCCTTTTCAGTTTGTTCTTACTGGCTCTCTCTTTGTCTCCAGGCCCAGAATGATCTTGCCTCCTTGGCTTTTATTCCCCTGGCTTTCCTAGATACTGCCCTGTGCTGGTGGATATCCTTCACTATTTTACTTGGTGGGGGGTGTGTTTTCTTTGAAATTTGTTTGAAATTCATTGAAAAGGGAGTGTTTGATATTGCTGCCATAGGATGACCTTCTGTTCTGCCATGAGTCTCCTCTATGTCTTAGAGGGTTGTGTTCGTGGGTGCGTGTCTGGGTGGGGGCTGTTGTTCATAAAACCTGTGTCCTTTTAAGTTTGTGTCCTCCTTGTCCTCTCGGAGGCTTTCCTTGACTTTCTGTACATATTCATCAGCTTGACTCAAACAATGAAACTGCTAAAACTTCGAAGGAATGTTGTGAAACTCTCTTTGTATCGGCACTTCACCAACACACTCATCTTGGCAGTAGCAGGTAAGCAGAAAATTACATGAATCAAATAAGAGTTAGTTGTTTTGAATGTATAACTTGATTTGATCACTAAAGCAGATCTTGAATTTAGTAACCGTTCTGTAAACGTAACGAAAATACTTATTATTTCTATCACTTGACCTGTTTCTAGTAGTTTGTCTCTGTCAAATGTTACATTGATGCTTTGGAGGCAGTAGATCATTAGTCAGGAAGTTAGTAAGAGCTTCTCTAATGGAGTGCTTTTGTCCCTCTTAATAATAACTGTGCTTGAAAGGTTTTTTTTTTCCTGGCTGGGCGTTGCTAAGATCATTTTTTAGTGTTCCTTCCTCCTTAGCTGAAGACCAGAGTGACTCTTGAAAAAGCAGTGTTCTTAGGATTGTAACACAATGTCATACCTGTATTCTGAAAGAATAAAAGTTGAGATTCTCTCTACAGCAGTGATAACTGAACTCCAGGAATTATATATGTTATATCTTAGAAGACAAGCACCTGGCAGCACTCTCATATATTTGGAAATGACATTCATACAGTGAACAAGAAAGCTTCTAACCAGCGTGTGTGCATATTTATTTATTTATTTATTTATTTATTTTACATAAACAACAAAACAGCACATTCATTTAATTGCCAGCTCTCATTAAATTCCTTGCAGCATCTGGTTCTCTGTCATCAGTCTCCTTAGCAGAGGGAGGTGTCACCTCTAAAACTGTTGAGAGCTTAGTTTGAACACTGGGAGTCTTATGTGTCAAGATCTGAATGTTTTTGTATTCAAGCAGATCAAATGGTTCAGTTACTGCAAGGCAGCTTGTATGTCAACCAATAGTGAAAGTGTTGTGTGGAAAGCAGGTTGAAAGGAACATAAGAATAGTAAATAGGGATAAGGATTTTGGTTAAATAGTAATTCCTTGACTTACACCTTGTGTCTTTGGCTGTGCCTAAACTACTTCTTAAGGTCAGGTCAGTAAGTCAGTCTCATGTTTTCTGAAACTAATAGTTTACTTCTCAGGAATCTCCCTATTTAAATCTTCACCCTTCAGTTGGGAAACACAATCCTGTTAGCAATGTACAAACGGTAGCACATGTTGTAGTAATAAGCAGTTTGTTTGTTTTAATCTTGCAGCATCCATTGTATTTATTATCTGGACTACCATGAAGTTCAGGCTGGTGGACTGTCAGTCGGTGAGTTTACACTGAATGCTCTCTGTGATTGGTGCCTCTTTTTTTTTTTCTGTGACTTATGTCTAGAGTAGTAACCACACAGTAAAATTATCACTGTTGTAGGAAGTAGCCTCTTTCACACGTCTAACACATCTTTGGAAAGAGCTGAAAACATGGATTTTCTTCCAACAGCTTCTATTTGTGCTTCTGTTTTCATTGACAGGACTGGCAGGAGCTATGGGTGGATGATGCTATCTGGCGCTTACTGTTCTCAATGATCCTTTTTGTCATAATGATTCTGTGGAGACCTTCTGCTAACAACCAAAGGTTCAGCTTTTCTCATCTCTTTCTAAAAATACTGTTTTGGGGAGTGCTTGTTTATCCAAATTAGCCCTGTTGGGTGATTTCAGTTGCAGTATACTGATCCATAGCATACTAATGTAGGATACTAAGCAGCATATGCGGGAATAGATGTGAGAAGTCACATAGTTAAAATTCAGTCTGTTCCTGGTGGTGAACTTATTTGAAAAGAAGTCGTTTGAACTCTTCTTCATATAGTTGAACACAGGTCTTCAAAACAATATGCTGCACAGAATAATGAATAAATGTTAATGTTGGAGTAATAACTCTTACATGGCAATACACGTTCCTCTAAGTTATCTTTCTTTCCCTCCTAAAGGTTTGCTTTCTCACCACTGTCTGAAGAGGAGGAGGATGATGAGCAGAAGGAGCCAATGTTAAAGGAAAGCTTTGGTAAGGGCAAAATTTCTTTCCACATGATTTGGAGATGTCTGGGGAGAGATGTCTTTCTGTCAGGGGGTAAGAAATAAAAATAAAGTTTGTTACTGCTGTAGAAGTGGAGGATGCAATTGCCTGTTGCAGAAGAAGAATGGCTTTATATTTTACATTTGCAATTTGGTGTTTTCAGATGACATTGAGCACACTGCCGCTGTTGTGGTTGTTTTACCATATCCATTGGACTATTTTTTTTTTTTAATATGAGCAATGTCCTGTTTGCATCCGGCTATGATGACGGAGGTCTCTTAGATATTGTAGTTAGTCAGTGGGTTAGTTTGCAGTTCCTCTTTTACAATCTGTTTGAATTATTCTAGTTTATTATCTGTTCTCTAAACCCTGCAGAAATCATCATAGAACCATAGAGTAGTTTGGGTTGGAAGGAACGTTAAAGATCATCCAGTTCCAACACCTCTGCCATGGGCAGAGTTGATGCCTGCTAGATCAGGCTGCCCAGTGCCCCATCCGACCTGGCCTTGAATGCCTCCAGGGATGGGAGAGGCACAAATTCTCTGGAAGTGAGAGCCTCCCCACCCTCTGAGTAAAGAATTTCTGCCTGACATCTAATTTAAGTCGACCTTCCTTTAGTCTCAAACTATTCCATGTTTATAGTGAACAAGGGGGAAATGTCCACTGTAAACATACGGATGGACCTCAAAGCAGTCCTGCTTTATAACACTAGGTGGCACCTTTCTCTCACTCCAACTACTTGAAATCTCTGTACTATGTCTGTTATCCTTCAAGCAAAACCATTTGTAAGCATTGTAAAAAGGGTAGGTGTTACGCATACTGCTGCTGGGATAGATGAGAGTCATTTGAGAAAGTATGTATTATCTCCTAGGTGTGTTTGCCAAATCATCTCTATTGGCTGTCTGGCAGGCTGGGAGATGCATGTTGCTTCTCAGCTCTTAAACAAGGCTGGTCAGCAGTCAAGAGGTAAAATAAATTTGGAGAGTTGTAGAAATCAGAGAATGGCTGAGCCTGGAAGGGATATCTGGTGATCATCCTGTCCAAACAGCCTGCCTAAGGGAGTCAAATAGAGTAGGGTGTCCAGGGCCACATACAGACAGCTTTTGAAGATCTCCAAGGAGGGAGACTGCACAGCTCTGAGAAGCCATATCTTTGATCCTTGCACTGGTTTAGAGAAAAAGAATAGAAATTGCAGTTTTATCTAGGAAATATCAAAATTCAGGACAAATAGGTATTTCACTTATCAGGACCTTAGTTACCAGTCTTTTTTTCCCCTTCTTTTGTTTTCAGAGGGAATGAAAATGAGAAGTACAAAGCAAGAACCAAATGGGAATGTAAAAGCAAACAAAGCTGTAAGTATGTCCTCCTTAACTGAGAGAACCTTTTGTTTGTCTGCCTCCCAGTAGTTCACAATATGCAAAGCTGTCAGCTTGTAAATGTGAGTTTCCTGATTTGGTTCAGAGTGGGAGTGTGTCAAAACTTCATATGTATACAGTATCCTATGCTCCTGAAAAGGAAGTCTGCCTATGGAGACTTGAGAATTCAGTCTGTTCTTTAGGAATGCTCGCACAATCCAGCATAGATAGAAGTGTGTAATGCTATATTCTGATAAAGAATAATACATTAGTCTAACAAATTTGTCAGGCTAAGGAAGTTTTTTAATTTTAAGATTTGTGATTCATTATGGGTGATGTGTACAGTGTGAATCTGTCACGAGTGACTGACTGCTTTGCTTAGTAACAAATAATTACGGAGTTATTACAGAATCTTAAGTTGTTAATAATTTATAGGTTTCTTTTCTCTGTTGGAATTTTTTTTTCTGTAATTCAGAAATCACTTTTAATGTTTTTCTCAAGTAGGCTGTGAAGAAAAATACACTATTTTGGGAAAAATGACTTGTTTTCCATTTAATTTCTGTACTTGTAGCAGGAGGATGACCTGAAGTGGGTAGAAGAGAATGTTCCTTCTTCTGTGACTGATGTGTGAGTATTTTTTTTGTAGTCACAGTACAAGTGGGCTCCTCAGATAGTAAGCACTCTAATGTATTTTTTGTTCCTACATCTTGCATGCTGCCCTTACATAAACAGATACTGAAACGAGTCTGGAATTGGCTTCCTGTTTTTTTTTTTTTTTCTTTTTTTTTTTTTGAGCAGTCTTCCACATGGTTATGCAGTTTCTCAGACTTACGATTTATGCTGCTTGAACATGTGCTAACTTACAGAACGCTCTCTCTGTGAAAACATAAACTGATTTATTTGCACTTCACTGAAGTTAAAAAATAAGAAAATAAATCTGGAAAGCAAAGAACAACCAAGCACCCTCTTTGTCTGAGCATCTTACTGGATGTAAATCACTGAGTCATTTCATTTATTTCTGTACATTTTTGGAATATTGAGTCATTTTTATGCAATTTAGTCAGCTGTATACACAGTCCATATGTATTCTGCTTTTAATGCTAGTTCTTACATTCTAAGAAGATCAGTATGTGTATCTAAATTTTTCATAGCAAGTTCATGGATTCCTTGCATTCATGCATTTGAATGGTAAATTTTGGCAGATTCTTTAGATTTAAGAACAAAGCTCTGCTTGGAGACATTTAAAGACAAAAAAATCAAGTGAAGCTTCAAGAGGAGAAAAAAGTACATTTTCTCAATTGAATTCTTTTTTTTTGTGTGTGTGTGTCTGGGTCAAGCAATTATCTATTTGAAAAACTGTAGGTTTCCTTAGTACTAGGCTGGTATAAGCTAGAAAGGGTCACTCTGAGGTGGTCTGCAACAGGGCTTTCTGTCCTTGAAAGTACATTGATCAGGATTATGAAGAGCTGAAGTCTCAGTACGTAAATGGAAGGTCTGTTGTGGCTGAAAAAGGCTATGATACCAGTGTAACTTGTGTGATTTTATAAAAATTTTTTTTCATTACAGCATGGTCCCATATCCTAAATGTCTTAAGTATGGCTTAGCACTGTTTATATATTTACAAAATACCTCTTTTGCAGTTGCAGTCAGGCTGGTAAGATGCTGTGAACACAGCTTATTTCCTTGCAACGTGAAAATTGTTCAGTTCATAATGAGAAGTCAGAAGCAGAGTACAAAATTGTGTTTGAGTTGTGAAGGTCATTGAGAGATTACTACTTTGGCTCTTCCTCCTCCTTGTATTTTTCTTTAATATTTATGTATTTAACTGAAAGGTCTATCTTCATTATTGTTCTTTTTTTTTTTTTTCTGTCCTAAAAAGCTTAAGGTACAAGGTCAGGCTGAAAACAGTTTTCAATATATGCTCTTAGTAGGCGCTTCAGTTTTCTTAACTATCTTTTTTTTTTTTTTTTTCCCCTGCAGTGCTCTTCCAGCTCTTCTGGATTCAGATGAGGTCAGTGAACATATCTTTAGTACGAAACAGTCTTCTGACATACCAGAAGAGTCACGAGTCAGCTGCTAGGGACTTGGCTTATTAGAACTAGTCTCTGATCTTGCCAGTGCAATATTAAAATACTACTAGGGGGACAATAAGAAGCAGAACCATGATACAGCTTTTGAGAATGCAGTTAGGTCTGAAAGATTTGCTGTCTGCAATGCTTGTAATTTTACACACAGAATCACAGAATCACCCGGGTTGGAAGGGACCTCAAGGGTCATGTAGTTCCAACCCCCCTGCCTAGCAGGGCCACCAAACATACACATTCAGAGGGATTTTAGGAATGATTGGACCTGTATCGAAGAATAGAGTTCAACATAAAGCAATAGTTTTTTGAATTACAAGCTCTTCCTGCTGTAGTCTGTGTGTCTATGCAATTTTTTTGAGGTTTCCTACTCAGTTTCACTTCCTCTTCGTTAAATGATTTGGGAGAGATGTGATGCTGTGGGGGAAAAAAAAACAATTTAGTTAGGTAGTTTGGAGAAAAATAGTTTTGATCAGCATTGTGAGTAATGAATACTGTTGTAACGTTTTGTTGCAAAGATATTCTTAGCATTATGATACTGTTAAGTACTTTAACACCTGTAGTGAATTTGAAAAGCATTGTAATATATCTAGAATTTAAATGTTTGAAATAGGAGTGGAGCAGAAGCACAGTATGACCCATCAGATACTTAGGGAGAGCTGATTTCACAACAGTGAAAACTGTGGTGTGGGCTTGTGCATCAATCATGTGTGAATGATGTGATCTGTTGGTTCTAAAAATAGTGGTATGTCTGCTGTAAGCCGTGTTAAAATGCACGAGTGTGTATTGTGTACATGCACAGCATATCACCTTATTTCTGAATAATTTACATCTCTTGGGGAAAATGATAGAATTGGAATTTCTTATTTTGCAGGAAAGAATGATTACACACTTTGAAAGGTCCAAAATGGAATGAAGGAGGAGGCTTTTGCTATTGGAATTGGAGACATCTCTTTTAAAGTTGCTTGGTGGAGCAAGTACATCCTGCTGATTTGTTTCTTGATCTCAGTCTTGGAAGTTTGACACTTTATTGTCACGAGGGCATCTTGCTGTGAAAGAACTTCACAAGGACACTGATAAATCTTTTGGAAATTTTCAAATTGCGAAGTTGCTGCAAGTTTGGATTTTTAAGCAATTTAAATGTGTACTATTCCAGCACCTTCTGTAACTTTTTTCAAATATTTAATCTGTGAAACTAAAATTCCTAATGTCTGCTTGAGGAGTTTATATTTTAATGTTACAATTGACACTTAGAGGTGAATTGCCTTTACCTTTTTTGGTGGAGGGTGGCAACAGCAGGAAATAAGCACTGAAGAAACAACAGACCCATTTTCTGGTAGATAAGGGCTTATACTGTCATGTTGTGTGTCCAACATTAATGAAAGGTTTTAGAGAGAAGCTCCCATTGATGAAGAAAATTAAGAAAGGAGATATTTGGAAAAGTTACAGTGATAAGAGTTTTAAATCAAGTGCAATTTTATTCATAACACTGTGTAAGAAAGATTTTCTATTTTAAATGCCATTGACCTATAGGTAACAGTTGCGTAGAGCTAACCCTTGCTGTTAGCAAGTTGGCACATCTCATTGCCGGCAATGTGGTGGTTGCCTGGAAAAAATTATTCGCCCCTACCTTCCACGTGTTGCATGGTTTAATTCAAAGGGAAACAAAATACCAAAAAAACAACAACAACCAAACTCCAGACACACTCCTGCAGTGTTCCACAATTGCTTGACTATTCATGTTAAGCAGCTACTTAAGCAAACATTTCAGAAAAAACTTTCCTCCATGCAAATCTCCCCCCAAGAAGTCGGCACTCTTCTAAGAGAAGATGGTATTGCTTCCTAGAGGGTGTAGGCACTGCTGCACCACGAGGCCTTGATGGTGTACACAGTGCTGGGATATTTTTGTTTCCAGTGTCTGTTTAGAATTGCCTCGCATGTTAACAATTTTAAGATGGGCTTTCCTGTTACAATTGATCCTTGTAGCCAAGATCATTGTGTTTAAGTCAAACTAGAAATTTTCTATACAACTGATGTTTTTTTGTTTGTTTGTTTGCTCCTTTTCAAATGAAAAAGAGCTTTTTGACAGTTTTCTATTTATACTCTGTTCTTGGTTGTGGAGGCTTTGCATGCAAAACCTTACACAGGGAAGCCCAACACAGACTGTATGACAAAAGCTCTTAATTTGGATTCATATTCTTTACATCTGATGGTTACCAGGTAAGTGTCAGCACAGCTAGACTTCTAGGGAGCTGCTAGACAAACCTCTGTGAGTACTGGCTTAGGGAGTTAGCTTTTCTTGTTCTTAGCTCATAGCTGTCTCAGCAGAAGTGAATGTGTGCCTGTACTTCATTCAGCTGTGAAGTCTAATAGCTTAGCTCTTGTTCATCAGCAGCAGCAACTTATACTGGCTCATGGCACTTTACAGTAGAGTAGCTGAGGTGCAAGTGCATAGTGTCTTCTGTCAGCTGTGCTGTGAAGGCAGTAAATCCCAAGCAGATGGGCAGAGAAAAAAGGTGGGGCTATTACATTTGACTCTGCTTCTGCAAGACTTGTTGTGGCATACTTCTTCCAGCCCTTATAGGCCACAGATACATGCTGTAGAGTCTTTAATTAGAAAACACTTCAACTTTTAATTTGCTATGCTTAATTGATTAAAAAATGAAACAAACATGACCTCCATGCCCTTTTGGGGAGAAGAAATTTTGTGAAATAAAGCTATTTGTCAATATTTAATGTTTTTTTTTTCCCAAGTCCTGTTGCTTTGGAGTGGATTTTTTTTTTTTTTTTTTTTTTTTTTGAGACAAATAAGGAAATATGTTCTCTATTGGAAGCACAAAAGAAGTTTGTATATACAATTTAATAAAAGTTAGGCAAAGAGTAGAAAGGCTTGCATGGTTTCCTTCCACTTTTCTCTCTCACGTGAGTGAACAAGTAGTATTAACGTCTTCACAAAGCTTCCTTGCATAACTCTGTGGCCTTACATTTACAATTTTTTTTTCCCATTAGTCTTTTTAAAAACATTTTTCACTACATTTGGCTTATCAACTTGTTGAAAAGCTAACATAGGCAACTCGCACATTTCTGAACAGAAGTGAAAGATCTGAAGTTTCTCCTGCCAGTCCTAGATTACTAATGTAAAAAATGAAATAAATACAGCAGTTTTCTGATACTTTAAGCCTACAATTACATTAGGTTTGTCTTCTGCCTTCTTCCTTTCTGTCCCCTGTTGGTATCTTCCACAATACTGGGAGTAGCTCTGAACTCCACAGATGACTTAACTGCATTAAACATCCTGGTTATAGCTTATTGCTTTCCTTGGTAGCTCCTCTGTTTGACAGAACTTACATATCCTTGCAGGTTATATCTGTGTCTGCACACACAGCAGGCTCGTGCTGTGACCTGTTTGTGATCTTAAGGAGAACTTTTTTTCAGAGATTTGTTCCCAAAGTATAAATGGATAAAGCCAGAAATCCTGCAGAATTGTTAACTTTAATAATGTAGACAGGAAAAACTGAAGTAAAACGTAGACATGTTCTTTTGAACCATACTGTAAAGTTAACTGTACAAGCTATTCTGAAGACTTGAGCGAGTGAACAGGAAGGAAAAAAATCACTATTCTTAGGCCTCATATGTACAGATGTTTTTAGTGACTAGAATGGTATGTAGAAACTGGCTTCAAATGTTATCTTCACCAAGATGTTGGCAACTGAGAATGCAAAATGGCAGCAATTTAAACATGGAGGGAGGGTTTTTGTTTTTGTTTTTTTTCAAATGAGATTTTTGCCTTTGTGATCTGTGTGGATTATTTTTCATTTTTGAAGACTGGCTATGATAGTATTGATACAACTTGTAGCATTTTCATGCTGCACAGAGGACTGAAAACAGTAGCAGTAGTGAGGAAGATGATGATGGTGACCAGCTTTTTCTTAGGGTGGTAAGATGATGCCAGAAACTCTGAAGGAGAGACTAAGAGATCATATGACGTGGCAAAAAAATTTAACAGCTTAACAGGCACAATGTGAATTAAGATCATAAGACTCGGTAAGACAGGGTATGTTTGTGTCAGATTACAGTCATAGGGGTGTGTTTATGGTTTTTTTTCATCATTCTATTTCCTCTATGGCATTGCATTCTGAAAAAAAAATAAGTATGCTACTCTTCAAAGTCTGATGAGGCCAGATTGTACTTTGGTAGAGATGGGTTACAGCCACTTGCATGTTGAGATATTATTACCTATTATTACTGAAACTCACCCTTCCTTTCACTACAGGGTGCTACCTTCCTCTTGCTGTTGTAGTAATCTTAGTTAGGACAAGGAGACCTGACATACCCAAGGCACATTTCCCTTTGCAAAAAGAATGCAACTTAACATGGTTTCATGCTTCAGGTCTCATCCCTGGGCAGGAAAGCAGCTGGATGGATGTAAGAGTGCCTTGCTGTAAGGGACCTCACTTGTGTTCTTCCATTCCTGTGCCTCAGTCTCCCACCACAAAGCATCTTTATTCTCCATCTTCTCCCATAGCGGTCTCAGTCAGTGAAGATGCTCAGGGAACTCAGTACTGTGTGCTTCTTTCTTGCTGGGTTTAGATAGTTTAGACTTACAGCAGAGTAAATGCAACTATCCTCTTCAGGAAGGGATGAGAAAACAAGTGAAGGTTTCTTCATGAAGGCTAAATTTCGTTGACCTAGCTCATCCTGAAGGAATATATCAGTCTTCTAACAGGAAAAAAGCATCAGTTTGTGGATGTCATCGAGCTGGAGAAAAAAATAAAATTTAGGACCTCTGAAAACAGTTACTTGCAGGAGATACTTTCCCGTTCTTGTCTGGTTTCCTCAGGTTCCTCAATTTTTGCCTTTCCTATGCGCTCCGGTTCCGTGTTAGCGAATGGCAACCAGACGCCTGCGCCAGTAGCGTTTGACTGAGAAGCTACAATTACCGCCTCCGCCTCAGCGTCCCCCCCAGCCACGCGCGGCTATGCACTTGCGCAACGGGGCAGCCCACGGACTCGGCGCACGGCCCCGACGCAGAACCACCCCCTCCCGCCCCCGGACCCGCCCCGGCCGGGGCGGGCAGGCGGGCGGGGCTTCGGCACGGAAGCGGCGGCGGGGGCTGCTGGGAAGGGCAGGGTGCCGCGGGCCGGTGGGGCTGCTGCTGTTTCTGCGGCGCGGGGTCCTTGCCCGCTCATCTCCTGGCCGGCGGGTGCTGCTGCTGCTGCCGCCAGCGCCCAACGGAGCCGCTGCCATGCACGACGCCTTCGAGCACGTGCCGATCCTGGAGAAGCTGCCGCTGCAGATCGACTGCCTGGCAGCCTGGGGTGAGCCGCCGGGGCTGCGGCCGCGCATCTCCCGCCTTGCTGGGCAGCCCCCCTTCCTCCTTCGTCCTCGTCGGCAGTCCTCGGGGCCGCTGGCTGCGGGCTGCCCGGCTGCGGAGCGCCTGCGGTGCAGGCCCGGAGCGCGGTCGCTTCAGCGCTGAGAGCAGTTCCCTGAGTGCTGGCTGGTTCCTATCCGTAATGCCAGCCGGGCCTTCTAGCCTTAACGTTAGCGCCTGCTTGCTTGTGTTAGTGTTATATAAGTGTATAGGTGGTACTTTGGGGTGTGCACGGTGAGGGGGTTGCGGCGCTTGATCGGGTGCGTTGGGAAGGCTGCTGTGGCTGCTTGGGCTGTTCTGTACTGTGCTGCTGTGAGACAAAGCTGCTATTAAAACTCCTTCAGATGCTGTGGAAGTGCGACTCTTTAAATCTGTTTACCATAACCTCAGTAATAGCACTGTAGTTGGGCAATGACACATATGTGATAGAATTATATAGCAAAGGAGATGAGAAGATTGTTTATTTCTTTGTTGAGATTTTAATCTTTGTCACTATGAAAGTGTTTACCTTGCCAGAGTATAGGAGGCCTCAGATGAAATGGTTGGGTAAAGTCAAGCAGTGGAAGGAAGAGCTTGCAGGAGAATGAGAACGTATATAAATACAAGCATCTTAAGTAATGAGGAAGTACTGGGAGGAGGAAGATACATCCATGTGTATGTTTTTCCTATGTGATTCTCAGCAAAGAGGAAGATTTTCAGTCAGAGTTTGTGACCTGGTAAAGATACTACGCCTTTTGATTGTTATGAGTGCTGTAATTTGGAACAGTCTGAAACTTTGCTACAGAGTTCATATATAAAAAGTTTCTCTTTTATAAATCTTAAGTGACTGCTGGTTTTCCAAGCACTTCAAATGCCATTTAAGCAAGGATGCCACATTGATTCAGGCACAGCTGGCAATTTTGGGAAGTTCTTATAAAAAGCATGACTTTATTTTAAAGCATAGAACTTCTCCTTTTCATTTTTTCCCCCCTATTATGTAGCGGTGTTCGTCCCTGGGACATAGTGATGCCTCAGTAATAGCTTATCGACACTCTTGATTGAAAAAGATGTAACTGCTTGTTTATCTACAGTTGTACCAGTAAGCAGGGTTTGATGTCTTGGCTGTAGCTTTTGTTTTACTGTTTGGTTTTTGGCCATCATATGGTAACAAATGCTGCAGTCTAGCACTTGCACAAGAGCACTGTAGGGAGATGTGTCTATGGTTGCCATATAAAGTCCTCTTTGGCTTTTGAACCAAGCTTATAGGTGTTAGGATAAATACAGCTTAGTTGGATAGGGCATTCTTTGCCAGAACTGATTATTTTCTCCCTACTCCTTTTAGAGGAATGGCTCCTTGTTGGTACCAAACAAGGGCATCTTCTTCTTTACAGGATCAAGAAGGATGTAGGTAAGTTGATTGTAAGAATGACACAAGAAGTTGATTATATTATTTTTATTTCTTTCGTGTCAGATGTTATTGTGATATTAACACAAATGTGTGTGATTGATGATTTTCCCTACTTAGAGTTTAAAGAATGTGTGAGATCTTTAATAGAACTGTACACACTTTATCAGATAGTTAAGAAGGATAGGTAGTAGTATCAGCCTGTTGTTTGTGTTAGAGTGTACCTTATATAAGGTTGTCAGATCTTTCTTTTGCAGAAAGTGTAATTTCTCTGAATGCACTCACTCTGCATAAACTTGCACAAAAACAGTACAATGTGCTTGTTGCTGCAGGTTTGCTTGTCATCTGCTAATGAAAGGTTGGATTACTAGATGAATGAAAGAGCAAGTTTATTCAGTGGGCTCATCAACATCAGGGGTTGGGAGAGAAGGAACTTCACTATTTTTACTTTCTCATGTTTCTACTGTTCGCTCTATCTCTTAGTTATAATTGCTCATAGGCTATTCTGGAGATGCCACAGAGAATGCTGTTCTGTTTGAAACTTAGTTGATTTTCACTGGATAGATATATATTTTGGGTTTCTATATAGTAGCTGATAATGCAAGTTATTGAATGCAGTAATGCAGTATAGCATGGGACAGCAAAGGGAAAAAAAAATCCAAATGTTTCTATCCAGGATCATCAACTATTGGAAAGATACTTGTTTGTATCTGATTGAGACTGAATTCAGCTTGCTTTTTCTGAAACTTATAGGACGTCTGTTCCAATTGGAACATGCTAGTCTTGAGTTGCTAGTGTCTTATCTCACCTGGTAAATTTCTCCCCCTTTTTTGCATCAGTGCCAGGAGAGGTTATGTCATCAGAAAGTGTCTGTAAGTCTTTATCCCTAAAACTCCTTTTAAACCCCTTGTGGTGTAGTGTTTATTCCTTGTCTACTTTGCAGTGATGTGTTCCTTAGCAGTTTAAGTTTTTGATA